TGAAATAGCATTTCAGATGCAGGCCAGGTCTCTCAGGCTGTGTCAGGGCAGGCAGCATCTCTTCCTGTGTGAGTGACTGAGTGAATACCGCCCGTCTTCAGTCTGAAGAGCTGTGTGCCCGTATGAAGGTATTTGTAGCGGTGACGGTGAGGTAGCTACTAGTGTTTCACTTGTCTGGACAGTGTATGGTGGAGTAACAGCAGCACACTGTCTGTCTGTCTGTCTGTGTCTGTCAAAGGGCTTTCCCTCCAGGTGACCCCTCCACCTCCATGGTTTGGCAGAGGGAGGGAGGTAGGGAGGGGGAGAGAGAAAGGGAGGGAGGGGGGAGAGAGAAAGGGAGGGAGGGAGGGACTGGGAGGGCTGTGAGGAGGGAGGGAGAAAGGGAGGGAGAGATGGGGGGAGGTACTGGGAGGGGGAGGGACTGGGAGGGCAGGAGGGAGGGAGAAAGGGAGGGAGAGATGGGGGGAGGTACTAGGAGGGGTAGGGACTGGGAGGGCAGGAGGGAGAGGGAGAGAGAGGGGGAGGGATGGGGTGGAGGGGGCACATAATCAAAGGAAAACAGAAGTATCACAACTCCTGCACCTCCACAACCCACCTGGATGGTCTAGTCGCTGAAAAAGAAGCTAAAAAGCTAAACTTATCAGACATTTATTTTAGCAGTAACCCGATTTTACTTACTTTATGTAATTTGTTATTCTTCCTCGTTTACCCTGTCCTGCCGCATGAATTGCTGGAGATTGTTTTCGGTGGCGTGTGTCCATATGGTTTCCGAGTTCTTCCTGGATAATACTCTTACCACCTGTTCCATCTCCACATTCGTTTGGTCTACGACGCTACGCTACGCTTAGCCCTATGTTGAGGAGAGTTTATCAAACCGCAATTTCACTGTAAAACACGGGGGCTGCTCAAAATGGGTCCCCACAAAAACCTAATAGTGTTGGTGATTCATGTGGGAAACAAATGTCTTTTTTAAGATGAATCACAAATAAGGGCAGGAGTTGGCAACACTCTGGGCCCTAGTTGAAGCCTGTTACTGAAACACTCTGGGCCCTAGTTGAAGCCTGTAACTGAAACACTCTGGGCCCTAGTTGAAGCCTGTTACTGAAACACTCTGGGCCCTAGTTGTAGCCTGTAACTGAAACACTCTGGGCCCTAGTTGAAGCCTGTTACTGAACACTAGGCCCTAGTAGTAGCCTGTAACTGAGTCCCAGAGTTGTTGTTGGTCAGGTAACGAGGTCAGGGAAAACTCCTGGCCCTAATTATTCCATCGACACTTCCTCCACTATTCCTGGCTTTCTGAACTGCCTCAACACCCTTCAGCTGTGGAAGACCATCGCCTAGGTCAAGACCTGCCACTGTCAGAACCCTACATTTGTTTTAGTTATGTTATTAAAGCGTCTTTGAGATTCTCTTTGTAATGAAAAATGCTATATAGAATAAAGTAGCATGATACATGCAGACTCAGTGCATTCTGTCCGTACTAGATACACATAGTCCCATATAGAATTTCACACCGTTTTCTGTTCACATATGATGATGAACACTTATGTCATCAAAGCCAAACAGTCCGACCAGTCTCTCCCCTGGAATCCAGCCTCTCTCAAGGTTTCACATTCGTTCGGAGAGCATTCACTTTCAGGTGATGGTAAATCTACTATTAGCGGATCAGAGCCCGCCATCGAACACAGGCACCAAGATTTACTTCCTGGTCATCAGTTTCAACAATTAAGGCTCCCAGGGTATTATTAACTACAGTAGAAAGTGTAATCCTGCAGGAGCCAAGAGAAATAGGAGGTGTGGAGAGCAATAGTGAAAGGAGAGTAATGCAACGTGTTGCGGCTCTCCTTCCTTGTCTATGGTTGCGTCTCAAATGGCACGCTACAGGCCCTGGTCAAAAGTAGTGCACTGTACAGTGCATTCGGAAAGTATTCAGACCCCTTCCCTTTTCCCACATTTTGTTACATTACAGCCTTATTCTAAAATTGATTAAATTAATTGTTTTCCTCATCAATCTACACACAGTACCCCATAATGACAAAGTGAAAACAGGTTTTTAGAAAAACAGAAATACCTTATTTACATAAGTATTCAGACCCTTTGCTATGAGACTCAAAATTGAGCTCAGGTGCATCCTGTTTCCATTGATCATCCTTGAGATGTTTCTACAACTTGATTGGAGTCCACCTGTGGTAAATTCAATTGATTGGACATGATTTGGAAATCCACACACCTGTCTATATAAGGTCCCACAGTTGACAGTGCATGTCAGAGCAAAAACCAAGCCATGAGGTCGAAGGAATTGTCCGTAGAGCTCCGAGACAGGATTGTGCCAAGGCACAGATCTGGGGAAGGGTATCAATATAGCAAATGTCTGCAGCTTTGAAGGTCCCCAAGAACACAGTGACCTCCATCATTCTTCAATGGAAGAAGTTTGGAACCACCAAGACTCTTCCTAGAGTTGGCCGCACGGCCAAACTGAGCAATCGGGGGAGAAGGGCCTTAGCCAGGTAGGTGACCAAGAACCCGATGGTCAATCTGACAGAGCTCCAGAGTTCCTCTGTGGAGATAGGAGAACCTTCCAGAAGGACAACCATCTCTGCAGCACTCCACCAATCAGGCCTTTATGGTCGAGTGGCCAGACGGATGCCACTCCTCAGTGAAAGGCACATGACAGCCCGCTTGGAGTTTGCCAAAAGGCAGCTAAAGGACTCTCAGACCATGAGAAACAAGATTCTCTGGTCTGATGAAACCAAGATTGAACTCTTTGGCCTGAATGCCAAGCGTCACATATGGAGAAAACTTGGCACCATCCCTACGGTGAAGCATGGTGATGGCAGCATCATGCTGTGAGGATGTTTTTCAGCGGCAGGGACTGGGAGATCGAGGGAAAGATGAACGGAGCAAAGTACAGAGAGATCCTTGATGAAAACCTGCTCCAGAGCGCTCAGGACAATGATGCTAAGCACACAACCAAGACAACGCAGGAGTGACTTCGGGAAAGTCTCTGAATGTCCTTGAGTGGCCCAGCCAGAGCCCGGACTTGAACCCGATCGAACATCTCTGGGGAGACCTGCAAATAGCTGTGCAGCAACGCTCCCCATCCAACCTGACAGAGCTTGAGAGGATCTGCAGAGAGGAATGGGAGAAACTCCCCAAAACAGGTGTGCCAAGCTTGTAGCATCATACCCAAGAAGACTCGATGCTGTAACCGCTGCCAAAGGTCCTTCAACAAAGTACTAAGTAAAGGGTCTGAATACTTATGTAAATGTGATGTTTCAGTAAATTTGCAAAAATGTATAACAACCTGTTTTTACTTTGTCATTATGGGGTATTGTGTGTAGATTGATGAGGGACTTTTTCTTTTTTAAATACATTTTAGAATAAGGCTGTAACAAAACAAAATGTGGAAAGAGTTGAGGGGTCTGAATACTTTCCGAATGCATTGTATAGGGAATAGGGTGCCATTTGGGACGAACCCTACCTCCTACGTTCTTCCGGATGAGACCCTAGTAGGATTGAGGTGTGCAGAGTCCTCTGGTAGTCAGGCAAAGCCCTAGTGGAAATATCAAATGTTTTTACCATGATAGGGGCCATATTTAGAGTACTTCAGAGATGAAGGACAGCAATATAGACCTTTGAGATAGATTCCATGAACCTGGAGAATGTGCTGAAATTATTCAAACTAACATCTTAAGTGAAATGTTTTTTTCCTTCAAGCTTGCAGCTGGGGGCAGGCAAATACATACCAGTAAGATAAAATCCCTTCATAGATGTCCACAAGAGGGTGACATATCACAACCTATGGCTACAAACACAGTCTCCTTGTAAGTCAGTGAATGTTATTGCGAGCAGTCAAAAAAGAGAAAGAAATGTGTATTGTAGATATCATAGAAGTTCAAAAATAGTATAGTGCCTTTGCAAAGGCAGGTTAAATAAATACAATCTGAGAGCGAGAGAGTTTGTTGAGTGGAATCCTCACCTCAGTTTCTTTTCCATTTTACTTGCCAGGCCGTATGCACATCAGTATTCATCTAAGCAGTTATACAAAAGAAAAGGCTAATGCATTATGGCCCCAGCATCACTTAAGCCAGAACAACCATCTCTCCTTGGCCCAAGTATGCGGTGCTGAAACTAAATTGGCCTGGATGGTGAACCATGAGCTATTGATATATCACTTACACATATGAAGTGTCTCTTCCTCAAGCTGGTCTCGCCAGCAGGAATAACTAAGTCAATTTAATAGACTCCTTAATTGTTTTCAGCCCTGTATTAATCTGGGCCAGGGCCATGGGTGATGTCCCAAATGGCACCTTATTCCCTATATAGTGCACTTCGTTTGACTAAAACCCTATGGCCCCTGGATAAAAGTAGTGCACTAAAAAGGGAATAGGGTGCCATTTGGGACATGGCCCATGTTTTCCTATTGTCATGCATTCCTAATGAGCTGGTCTCACAAGTCATCCCTCGCCCCTTTGGCCAGACTTGTCTAAGTTTGATTAATACAATGTTAAATCATCCCTCTATTTAGCTCAACTTTGGCTTAGAGAATGAGATGATTCGTGGAAGGAAAATATGTGGAGTTGTGAAGCACTGAATGCACTGTTATAGCCTGACTAAATAACTACAGTACCGCAGCTAGAGCAAGGAATTATGAGCTACAAAATATTACACTCCAGCATGTAACAGTGGAACAATGGATTATCAGCAAAGGGTTCCATTCCATTCATGTTAAAGCAAAGAGAACCCCCCTCAAAATTATATTTTAGAATTTGTTTGTACTGTATCATTCATGTCGCCATGGAGAAGGTTCCAAATGCATTGTCATCATTTCAGCCAGTTCACACCTTTAGTGTGGGCATGATTATAGCTAAATATTACAAAGATTAATATCAAATATCTGTCATGCATAAAATCATTTGATAGGGAGCATAATCTGAGATGCACAGGAAAAGAGATTCAGCCACTAGGAGAGGAAGTGGATTGAAGTTATATACTTTAGTATGAGTGCAACTGGCACGAGAGTAGAGGACTCTGGGAAGTCGCTTCATGAGTGGACCATAGAGTGTCGAGAGAATGGCTACCTTCTCTCTGGCAAGAAGATTGGGACAGGTGCTTTCTCCAAGGTCTACCTGGGGTACGCTACCCCAAATAAGATCAGCAAGAACTACAAGCTGGCCAATGACCTGAGGAGCAAGATCCACAACATGGTAAAGTACAGTTTTTCTGCCACATCTTTACCATGGTAAATCATTTTAAAAGAATTTCTCAACTTCATTTAATGAGCATAACATGTAGATACTTACTTATTAGTTTTTTTTATAGCCAGACCTTATATTTGCTGGACATATTTTAAAACAATAGTATCTAGCTAAGACTAGCACTGAAGTGACACTTTAATAACCTTGTTGTATTTTTTGTGAATTGTGTGGATGAGGACGTTCACCCCTACAACCATAAATTGTTCAGGTGGCCATCAAAATCATCTCTATCAATGAGGCTCCCCCAGAATACTCCAAGAAATTCCTACACAGAGAGATATATGCTCTGAACGCCACGTACAGACACCCAGGGGTGGTGAGGGTTGTTAGGGTACAAACACCAAACACTTGAGTTCAGATTGATATAGGCTAAACATATAGGGCTAGTTTCCCAGACACAGACTAAGACTAGTCCTAGAATAAAAAGCACCTCTGTTGAACATGCCCTTTAGTCCAGGAATAGGCCTAATCTGGGTCTGGGAAACTGGCCCTTAGACACCTAAATGGTTTTGCAGGAAAGGTTTGATGTGATGTGATGTCAAGCATGCACCTGCATCCAGAGTCACTGGATGCGTGTACCATAGAAATAGAATCATTAGGTAAATAGATTATATTTATGTGGTGTACACTCTACTTTTGAAACAGGTCCAGCTGTATGACATGTTCCGTTCACTGAAGCGGTTCTATCTGATTCTGGAGCTGGCTCTGAGCGGAGACCTTCTAGAACACATCAACGCCGTGTCCCATAGCAAGGGCAGCCCGGGCCTCAGTGAAGAGGAGGCTCGCAGGCTCTTCAAACAGATAGTCAACGCCGTCATGCACTGTCACAACAACCACATAGTACACAGGTAACACCTCACTGTCTGCCATAACAACCACAAAGAACACAGGTAACACCTCACTGTCTGCCATAACAACCACATAGAACACAAGTAACACCTCACTGCCATAACAACCACATAGTAAACAGGTAACACCTCACTGCCATAACAACCACATAGTACACAGGTAACACCTCACTGCCATAACCACATAGTAAACGGGTAACACCTCACTGCCATAACAACCACATAGTACACAGGTAACACCTCACTGCCATAACCACATAGTAAACAGGTAACACCTCACTGCCATAACAACCACATAGTACACAGGTAACACCTCACTGCCATAACCACATAGTAAATGGGTAACACCTCACTGCCATAACAATCACATAGTAAACAGGTAACACCTCACTGCCATAACAACCACATAGTACACAGGTAACACCTCACTGCCATAACCACATAGTAAACAGGTAACACCTCACTGCCATAACAACCACATAGTAAACAGGTAACACCTCACTGTCTGCCATAACAACCACATAGTACACAGGTAACACCTCACTGCCATAACAACCACATAGTAAACAGGTACCACCTCACTGCCATAACAACCACATAGTAAACAGGTAACACCTCACTGCCATAACAACCACATAGAACACAGGTAACTCCCCACTGTCTGCCATAACAACCACATAGTACACAGGTAACACCTCACTGCTGTTGCTGCAACCATCTGATTCTATATCTGCAACAATCACAGGTAATGTTGAGTAAAACCACAACAACCACATAGTGCATGACTGCTACAACAATCACATATTGTAGTTTACAGGTAATACCACAGCAACCAAACACAGGTAATCAAGCACTGCTGCTGCCTGCCACACCCACATTAGTCACAGGTAATGTCAATATTTCTTGCAGTCACCATGACAATGTCCTTTTCCTTTTCAGAGACCTGAAATGTGAAAACATACTATTGGACAAGCAAGGATTTGTGAAATTGACTGGTAAAATAACTATGCACTCCGATAACCACCTCAGCAGACAGGTTTTTTTATCCCAGCCTATGGTAAACCATGTGCATCGCTGACTCTGTGTGTACTCTATGGTGTTTGTGTGCTGTGCCTGGCAGACTTTGGCTTTGCCAACCACTACACAGACAGGAGTGTTCTGATGAACACCTTCTGTGGATCCGTGGCCTACACTGCCCCAGAGATCCTACTGTCTCGCAAATACAATGGAGAACAAGCTGACCTGTGGAGCCTGTGAGTCATCAGACAGCGATTCCATCCAAAATGGCACCCTATTCCCTATTTAGTGCTCTACTTTTGACCATGGGCCCTGGTATAAAATAGTGCACTATATGGAATAGGGGGTAATCTAGGACACAACATCAACACGTCTCACACTTCATTAAATAGCTATGAGAGTATCATTCCGCAACTTCTACAGAACAACTTTTCTCATTAGTCCCAGTGCACCTGCATACTAGTTGCTTACTGTATATATTGACAGTCCTGTTATTACATTTACATTTTAGTCATTTAGCAGACGCTCTTATCCAGAGCGACTTACAGTTAGTGAGTGCATACATTTTCATACTGGCCCCCCGTGGGAAACGAACCCACGGGGGGGTTATCAATAAATAACACTGTCAAGGGGGCATCACATTTACACAACTGTGTTTTCTGGCTTCTGCTTACTGGAAGTTAGTTGGCCATGTCTTTTCTCTCCATGTCCAGAGGGGTGATTCTGTATGCCATGATCACAGGGAAGCTGCCCTACCATGAGAAGCACCCCCCGCAAACTGGTCCAACTCATCAAGAAAGAGCTGCCGTTCCACCACCCAGTTTCTTCAGGTATTCTGCCAGAAATCAACAGGGGCCATAGTCATAAAGCATCTCAGAGTAGGAGTGTTGATCTAGGATCAGGTCCCCAGTGTCTATGTAATCTTATTCATTAAAGATTTAGAAAGCAAAACTGATCCTAGAACAGCACTCCCACTTTGAGATGCTTTGTGGATACGGGCCATGGTCTGTAAAATGTGTATATACACTTCTCTCTCCATCTCAACACTATGTTTGCCTTGGAAAGAAAGCGTACCCAAACGCATTTCAGCCCAGCTAAAAAAAAAAAAGATGCCTTCATCAATTACTGAAATGAGCATCTGTATGATTATTATAGAACGGTGGTGATGCAAAGTGGATTTTTATTTTTGTTGGATGTGGGCCCGGTCTTTACTTGTTGACATGTAAATTAATTTAAAGTCAATAAAAATAATTTTCACATAAAAAGCTCCAGTCCTAATGTTCCCTGGCTGTCTGTGCCCCTCCAGGCTGCCAGGACCTGACTAAGAAGCTGTTAGAGTGGCAGCCCACCGCCCGCCTGCCCCTGGACCAGGTTAACAAACACCAGTGGTTGATGCCCTCCATGACTGGCCTGCTCTACAAGCTCCGTGCCACCAAGAGCGACATCGCCCATAAGAACAAAGCCTTGGACAAGAAGCTTAAAGACCGGTGATATGTTCCCTCTGTCACTCCATAAATGGCACCCTATTTTCTATATAGTGCATTACTTCCCTATTGCCTCTGGTCAAAGGTAGTGCACTATATAGGGAATAGGGTGCCATTTGGAATAGACTCTTGGTCTTAGTCTGGTTCTTTCAAGCAAGTTAACAGCATAATTTTTTAGATGGCATTACATTTTTGTAAAGAACTGTTATACATCATGTAAGGTGGATATCTAGAAGTACAGTGGGGAAAAAAAGTATTTAGTCAGCCACCAATTGTGCAAGTTCTCCCACTTAAAAAGATGAGAGAGGCCTGTAATTTTCATCATAGGTACACGTCAACTATGACAGACAAAATGAGGAAAAAAAATCCAGAAAATCACATTGTAGGATTTTTTATGAATTTATTTGCAAATTATGGTGGAAAATAAGTATTTGGTCAATAACAAAAGTTTCTTAATACTTTGTTATATACCCTTTGTTGGCAATGACAGAGGTCAAACGTTTTCTGTAAGTCTTCACAAGGTTTTCACACACTGTTGCTGGTATTTTGGCCCATTCCTCCATGCAGATCTCCTCTAGAGCAGTGATGTTTTGGGGCTGTCGCTGGGCAACACGGACTTTCAACTCCCTCCAAAGATTTTCTATCGGGTTGAGATCTGGAGACTGGCTAGGCCACTCCAGGACCTTGAAATGCTTCTTACGAAGCCACTCCTTCGTTGCCCGGGCGGTGTGTTTGGGATCATTGTCATGCTGAAAGACCCAGCCACGTTTCATCTTCAATGCCCTTGCTGATGGAAGGAGGTTTTCACTCAAAATCTCACGATACATGGCCCCATTCATTCTTTCCTTTACACGGATCAGTCGTCCTGGTCCCTTTGCAGAAAAACAGCCCCAAAGCATGATGTTTCCACCCCCATGCTTCACAGTAGGTATGGTGTTCTTTGGATGCAACTCAGCATTCTCTGTCCTCCAAACACGACGAGTTGAGTTTTTACCAAAAAGTTCTATTTTGGTTTCATCTGACCATATGACATTCTCCCAATCCTCTTCTGGATCATCCAAATGCACTCTAGCAAACTTCAGACGGGCCTGGACATGTACTGGCTTAAGCAGGGGGACATGTCTGGCACTGCAGGATTTGAGTCCCTGGCGGCGTAGTGTGTTACTGATGGTAGGCTTTGTGTACTTTGGTCCCAGCTCTCTGCAGGTCATTCACTAGGTCCCCCCGTGTGGTTCTGGGATTTTTGTTCACCGTTCTTGTGATCATTTTGACCCCACGGGGTGAGATCTTGCATGGAGCCCCAGATTGAGGGAGATTATCAGTGGTCTTGTATGTCTTCCATTTCCCAATAATTGCTCCCACAGTTGATTTCTTCAAACCAAGCTGCTTACCTATTGCAGATTCAGTCTTCCCAGCCTGGTGCAGGTCTACAATTTTGTTTCTGGTGTCCTTTGACAGCTCTTTGGTCTTGGCCATAGTGGATTTTGGAGTGTGACTGTTTGAGGTTGTGGACAGGTGTCTTTTATACTGATAACAAGTTCAAACAGGTGCCATTAATACAGGTAACGAGTGGAGGACAGAGGAGCCTCTTAAAGAAGAAGTTACAGGTCTGTGAGAGCCAGAAATCTTGCTTGTTTGTAGGTGACCAAATACTTATTTTCCACCATAATTTGCAAATAAATTCATTAAAAATCCTACAATGTGATTTTCTGGATTTTTTTTTTTTCTTCTCATTTTGTCTGTCATAGTTGACGTGTACCTATGATGAAAATTACAGGCCTCTCTCATCTTTTTAAGTGGGAGAACTTGCACAATTGGTGGCTGACTAAATACTTTTTTTCCCCACTGTATGTGAAATACTACTACTGCTGTCCTTTGTCTATATAAACCAGCTTCAGCAGGTAGCCTAGCAGTTAAGAGCATGGGCCAGTAACCGAAAGGTCGCTGGTATGAATGCCCGAGCCGACTAGGAGAAAAATCTGTCGTTGTGCTCTTGAGCAAGGCACTTAACCCTAATTGCTCATGTAAGTCGCTCTGGATAAGAGTCTTCGAAATGAGGGCTTCCCAAACTCGGTCCTGGGGCCCCCCATAGGTGCACGTTTTGGTCAAATAACCAACTCATCATCATCAGCATGCTTTGATTATTTGAATCAGCTGTGTAGTGCTAGCGCAAAAAATGTGAACGGGGGCCCATGACAGGGTTTGGGAAACCCTGTTCTAAATAACTAAAATGTTAAACGTTATAAACTCATTCTACCTGGCATGTTGAAATACAGAGCCGACTGGATGTGTAACAGGCCCCTCCTGCCACTCGGGCCCTGGTAACCCCACCCATTCATCCTTCAGCCACACCAGCCTGCCTGAGAGGCCCCACCGAACTGTAGTGGCCACCCACTACCGCCCCGGGGCCAGCAGCGCAGGCTGCCATCGCCGTGAACCGCCACAGGAGAAGAGAGAGGAGCCGCCCTGCCCCAAGCCCCCCTTGGTGTCCCCCTGTCGGCTCCTGATGAGACCCACCCAAAGCCAGAGCACCAACCGTCTCTTCGTGACCCGGCCCCGGCTGCCCTTTGCCCCAAAGCCCTTCCATAACCTCCCCAACTTCCGGAAGCCTGGCTCGGCCAACAGGCAGCTGCATAGCCCCTCAGGCAAGCTGACAGCAGCAGCACCCCCAAGCACCTTCTGAGGATTTCTACTCCTGGGTACTAGCCTAGGAGGCTGCTAACCATGGACTCTGTCCATTAGGGACTGAAACATTTTGAGATTCATACAGAAAACAAATCAAGGACATACTCCTTTCGTTACAAATAAAATTACATTATTTTAATCGAGTTAAGACTTTGTGGTGTGAAATTACATGGTGTGAAAATACAACTGGTTTCAGATTGTACACAGTCCTTCAGAGTCCTGATTTCATGCAGTTTGTTGTTGTGATGGCAAGAATTTTCTGTTAATTCCAGTTAGCAGTTGGTTTGGTTCTATTGTTCAGACAGTTGATCAGTTTAAATGTAGAAAAGACCTCCTTGCTACATCATCCTCACTATGCCAGCACACTGCTGGGGCTTATCTGGATTTAACAGATCTTCCTGGTCCTTCTCCAACTGCTCCTGCTCCTTGGCATCCATGTCTTTGAGCTTCACCTCCACGTCCTCAGGAATCTCCACCTCCAACAGGTTCTCCATGCCTGGCTCTGGCTCGTCCCCGATCAGCACCTGGCAGAGAGAGGTGCATACACACACACGTCAATGCTGGTGACACACACGCACACATTAAAAAAGGCTTGACCCCAACTCTCAGTTGAATGCTACATTGGCATTAAGAACTTTCTATCCAGCATTTTGGCTACTTTAAGTGAAAAACAGTAGAGACCAAAATATTCCAATGACATCCTCAACATTACCGCAGACTGTAATTGACAACGAATTAGCCCAAGAAATGTCAGAATGGCATCGGGACGAGCTCAAAACAATTTAAGAAAAACTTAGTGGTGCCCCCCCAAAAAAAGAGGCTTTAAGCAATATGATAAAACGTTAAAGCCTTGTTATCCACAAGATTCAGCATAAAAAGCCCATTAGTCTTGGATAAATATCACGCTCGGATTTCAACTCGCTAGATTTTGATGTTTTATGACAGTGATTAAACTGGCTGGGTAGCTAAAGACTGAACTCGTGCCTCTGGACCACAGTTCAAAAGGGATCTCCGAGCCGTTATGGAGTGTATCAGGGGGTTTTATGCGAGACCGAGTGACATCTTTTCCACTCGGTCGTTCCCCACTACAAGACTGCCACCGCAGTGCAGAGCAGGCACTAGGCAGGAACGGAACAGTGGAAGGTTTTTCCAGCCAATCAGAACATCCTGTCTGCGTCCCTAATGGCATCCTATTCCCTGTGTAGTGCACTACTTTTGACCAGGGCACATAGGACCCCATACTATGTAGGGAATAGGGTGCCATTTGGAACGTAGACTCTGTTTTCTTAAACCCGCCGATGCTGTAAATTTCAGCACTCAGAATATTGAAATGTCATGAGATTCATTGGCGTCATCGACTGGGGTGACTTACCAAGCACAACAAGAAGTCATGAAAAGAAAATAGCTGTTCTCGTGCAATTCCTGAATGTAACTGTTACCAAGGTGCAGTGGAGGGTAAACTCAAGTAAACACAGTTTACTCCATTTATTTTTGTTGCCCAACAGTTCACCCACCTTTTGCTGAAAAATGCATTGAAAGTATGGAAGCGTTACTTTTTTTCACTGCGACCACCGATCAGAGATACCCACATATTTTTTTTACCACTACATCACTGCCAAGGTGCCATGTTGACAGCTGGGGAACCCCAGCTCTGGACTTGGTTGTGAATAACACCACCAGTAGGTCACCATGAGGTTGCTCTGTATTGATTTACTAGGTTAAACCTAAACCATAGGTCTGTTTTTTTAATCTTAGTACAAACAAAAAAACATTCAATTACTGTAAGTTATATATTCATAGTTTACCTGTATAAGCTTCTCACAAGCAGCAGCCACGTGAGGTTCCTTTTCCCAGTTGTGGAACTCCCTCATGATGGCGTAGACGTTCTTGGCCTTCAGAATCTGCCGACCCACTTTGGTAGCTGTCAGCTGGGTGCAAAAGAGACACACATAAAGTAGGCGTATTTCCAGCAAGCAAACAGTTTTTTTGTTGTTGTTGTTATAAACAGTTTGGATTATATAGAGAAACAGAGCATTACTGGTTTAGTGATACAGACGGTTAAGTGTTGGTGGAAGCATGGCATGGTATTGACTCCAGGTGACACCAACCAGTATCATAGTCTCAATGAGCATCTTGCGAATGTCGGGATCCTCCTCTCTTTTCTTGTCCTCTGGTAAGTACTGGAGATCGACGGGTAACCCTTCATTGAATAAGAACAAAGTACCATCAGTACTAGGCTATATTTTCAATGCAGATATCTTGATGAAGTACAGTAGCAATACATCTCAAAAGTTTGGGGTCACTTAGAAATGTCCTTGTTTTTGAAAGAAAAGCAATTTTCTTGTCCAATAAAATAACATCAAATTGATCAGAAATACAGTGTAGACATTGTTAATTTTGTAAATGGCTATTCTAGCTGGAAACAGCTGATTTTTAATGGAATATCTACATAGGCGTACATAGGGCCCATTATCAGCAACCATCAGTCCTGTGTTCCAATGATACGTTGTGTTTGCTAATCCAAGTTTAGCATTTTAAAAAGGCTAATTGATCATTAGAAAACCATTTCGCAATTATGTTAGCACAGCTGAAAACTGTTGTGCTGATTAAAGAAGCAATAAAACTGGCCTTCTTGAGCCTAGTTGAGTATCTGGAGCATCAGGAATTGTGGGTTCAATTACAGGCTCAAAATGGCCAGAAACAAAGAACTTTCTTCTGAAACTCATCAGTCTATTCTTGTTCTGAGAAATTAAGGCTATTCCATGTGAGAAATTGCCAAGAAACTGAAGATCTCGTATAACGCTGTGTACTACTCCCTTCACAGAACAGCGCAAACTGGCTCTAACCAGAATAGAAAGAGGAGTGGGAGGCCCCGGAGCACAACTGAGCAAGAGGACAAATACATTAGAGTGTCTAGTTTGAAAAACAGACGCCTCACAGGTCCTCAACTGGCAGCTGTACCCACTTAGGCTGGGGGGATCGTATATGTGCTGAGGGCGGGTGGTTAAACCGCAAGGTCACTCAGACAGGAACAATGATTTACCTTCATTCTCCTCGTCAGACAGTTCCTCAGGCCCAGCGAGAGGCAGCAACAGGAAAGGCAGAATGTCCACCGCATCACTCAGCAACCACTCATGATGAGCTGGGGAAAATCATAAAAGATCAAAATCAGGAAATATTTTCTATAAACTTTCTTGGAAACAATGGGAAGATCTTAATTGGTTACTCCTCTACTCAATTCAACATAAAACGGGCATGAACTATGAAGGTTAAAACTGACTGTCGTACAGCTATTAAGGTGCGTGTGTCTTCCTCCCTTACCATGATCAAAGCAACAATTTCTCAGAGTGCCAATGACTCCCCCTCGTCTGATTGTTGAGGCCTCGTATTGGGTGTAGGGAAGGAGTCTCTGCACTACACACCTGTGGGACATTAAAAAAACACACACACAGTGAATGGTCTTCCATAGATAACATGCTGGATAATTAGCAAAAGAAAGGAAGCACTTCTTATGGGGCAGAAAAAAGAAAGCACCAGGGCTCATATGCATAAAGCATCTCAGAATAGGAGTGTTGCTGATCTACCATCAGTTTGTCTTCTAAATCATAATAGACGCTTTGTGAATACAGGACCGGTTTTACAGCTCTTCAGGCCTGTATCGCATTGGTGTTACTGGATTATGAGAGAAGTCAAAGACATAGCTTAGCCTCGACCTGGATCTCATGAGCTAACCACCCAGCCACTGACCTCTCCTTATCCAGGATAAAGTGTCTGGTCTCGGGCAGCTGTGTGAGGTTGGAGAGGAGGGGGCCCAGGTAATGGAGCGACGCCTGCTTGTTGTAGCCCTCAGTGCAGAAGATCTCCACTATCTGCGCCAAACCCATCTCCTGCTCCTGCATAGCCTTAAACACCTCTTTACACGTCTTCACGTGCCGCGACAGGTTAGTGAGGATCGTACAGATACGGTCCGCAAACATAAATTCTGGGTCCAGGAGGTTTTTAAACAACATAGGGAGGAAGTCAGAGTCTTTGACCAGCGGTTGGTGCATGGTCTCGTCAGCCGAGAGGTTGATGAGAGAGTGGTAACAGTCTTTGACGATAGCGATGGAGGGGTCAGTGGTGAGGGTCACCAAGGCCTTAAGGAAGTCAGGTTTTGTCTGTAGGTAGCGACAGCCGTCCCTGTTGCCAGAGAGGCCCAGGATGTACTCAGTAGCATGGCCCTTGACGTCTGGCCTGGTGTCCACCGTGAGGAAGGACAGCAGCTCTTTTGCCTCTACCTCACTCAGCATGTTGGTGGACAGTCAATGTGCGTTGGTCAGTAGAAATATTGTAATCCAAAAGTTGACAGACACAGGGTTACAGTTCATCACCTGTAAAGATATCTACAAAGAGAGAGAGGAAAATGAGAAGCAATAATAGCTAACTAGATACAATGTAGCTAGCTACAACACAACATAAACATACAAGACAGTTGCGAGGAGCATCCAAAACAAGACCCCAGCAAGCTGACACTACATAGCTATGGTGAATATAAATGACAAAGTCCGTAAAGAAAGTGTCTTTAAACTCATGCTGTCACGGCATGATCATCACTTTGAGTCATTTCGATCGTGGTAGCTAGTTAGTCGGTCGAAATTAGGATAAAGTTAGCTAGGTTCTATCTCAGGCGATATAAAACCACCCGACTTACTTGAATGTTAAAAAGATATAAAACAACCTAGCTAGCTAGATAAATATTTCTGTACTAAAAAAAAAACGATCGTGCGGTTCTGTAAAGTTGATCAAATGTTGAAGCACACTCACCTCATCCTCATGGGCCTTTCCATGCTGATAAATACGTACTTCCGTATTTTGAAATGGCATTTTACAGCTCCAATAGGATTACGGATAACAGACATATACCCGCCATCAAAAGTAATCCTTAATTCTGATTGGGTTTTACTTCCTCAGCAGCCTTCGATTGGTAGAAAGGTGGACGTCATTTCTACAGCGCGCTAAAATTGTGGAAAAAACATCTGCTCTGCACAATAACTAGGTATGTCATTTTCCTGGTGTAAGAACCTGAATTAAACCCTTTAAGACAGCGTTTAGGATTATTTTTTATTGCCCGCAGTCAGGTAAGAAACGTCAGACTTATTTCGCTTGAGATGACAGACTTTTGGGACTTTGTGAACCCACTGTTTTAGCTTTAGCTCAGAGGAGTCAGATGGCTAATGCTAGCTGTGTGTCTGCTCTCTGATTTGACATGGTTTACATTCTCATATGTGGCTCTGTTGTCTGAAACGTTAGGTAGCTACTACATTTATAATGAATGATAACAATGACTTGCAGTATTACTGTCATGAGAGCCAGCTGTTTGGATACTGCTGAAATCACTGACTAGTTATATAGATAACTTTCAAGCTTGCACAAACTCTCTGAACTGTCTAACATGTCACATTTCCAACAAATTGCTGCCGGCTATAATATTTATTATTCGTCATATCAGCAAACTGATTCCTACAAGGTCGATAATAAATCTATGGAAGTGATGGATCGATACAATGATATCAAGATTCTTCTGAAAACCTGGGAGCAGTCATTTGTTCAAGAACATCAAAGAAAGCCCAACAAGGTAGCTAGCTATGTAGCTAGTTATCTATTTAATTACTGTATCATGCATTACTCGGAGACTACAGTATAGTCTTTCCCACTCTGAATTGTTCTATTTTTCAGGGTGATATTGACGGAGCCCCAGAAGAGACTAAAAGTAAGTGCATGTCAATAATCAACTGACTCCCTGCATGAACAGAACTGAAACACAGGATAAATATATTGCTGTCCTCAGGCTTGTATTCATTAGTGAACACCGTAGCAAAATGTTTAGCAACAGATAAACAAAAACAAGTGTTTCTTATTTGACAAATTCAGCTAGGTCCCTCCATTTTGGTCCGTTTGCTTCTACTGAATAGGACCCAGGTATCCTTCTATAATTAATGTCAGTTACTAAAATATGTTGCTTTGTGTTTCTGCATGTGTTTCACAGAGCTCTACAAAGAATATCGAAAATTCAAGCAAGCAAAAGAAAACAGCAGCAATGGGCACACAGACCCAACACCTACCGCACAGACTCCGTCATCTGAGAAGGTAGGTTACATTCGGTTCAGTATAATTATATTATTATAAATCTCCTAAACCCCAGTTATAACTAGTTAACTGTACTTAAAGGGGCAATTTGATATTTGTACATACATTTTGGGACTTTTCAAATAATGATGTATACCCATTGACAGCTTTGTTGCAGATTGCTCCTTTTAATATGTTTTCTCTTTGAAGGAATCAGATTGCTGGGGTACTCAGCTGAACCGTAAGAGCATGCCGGTGGCTGCCCCCAAACTGACTCTGACAGCCAAGGACAGGGAGTCCCTCCAAGCCTCGGCCCAGTACTTTGGCATGAAGCTCAAGTCAAACCTGGACCTGGGAGCTCTAACAAAGGTACGGTGTGTGTGTTTGTGTGTGTGTGTGTGTGTGTGTGTGTGTGTGTGTAGTTTGGCTGTGTCCAGTTCCTCACTTTGTGTTTTGCAAACTCTGCATAAATGTGATTTGCATAGATGAAGACTGTTAGTGTAAATTACAAACTGCAATTGCAAGTAATCATGAATCAGATGTGGAGAATTTGTAGCTCTGCCATTTTAAATATATACATTTTTCCTGCACTATAAACTGTTTCTAGGAGAGACCGGTTTCTCTGAAGAAGTCGTTCACTCCTCGTCGAACACCTCTGAAGTCGTTTAAAGATGGCCAGAGCCCAGACAGCCATACACTGTTATCCCCTCTACCAAAGCCAGCCAACACACGTCAAGACCCCCTGGCCTCTCCAATGCAGAGAGGGACAGAACACCCACAGCAGCCGCCGGAGGAGCCGTTTGAGCCCCTCACAGCCTTCACACCATCCAAGCTGTGGTCTCCTGCAGCGGGGGCATCCTCATCAGACAGACAGGCAGGCAGCAGGGCCCAGCAGCTCAGACAGACCTTCACCAAGAGGCTGACCTCTGTAGACAGCAGCTGGCTGGAGAGATGTCAGGTGTTTGACGAGGTGGTTGACGCGGAGAAGCCGGTTGTGGGTAATTTGCCTCTCGCCATGGAGGCGGCAGTGAGTTCGCCGTACGCCAAAGGGGGAGGCACTGGCAAGGGAGAGAACGCAGGACGTGCCGCCAGTTCCTTTGTTACACCTTCCAGGCAGAACGAAGGGACAACTCTCCTGGGGGAGAGGGCTTCCAAGAGTACCATAACACAGGCTCGGCCTTCTCCTGACGAGCACCAGCCCCATATTTGTTGTGGCGTAACGTCTGCAGCAGACCCAGCCAGTCTGTGGCCCGCTGGACAACGCTCCTCATTAGGGTCTGGCTCCGGAGGAGGAGAAGGAGAGGATGGAGAAACCAGATCAGGTCTCAAAGGACAGGCAGAGGGTGGAACGACAGAAGAGACCGCCATCGGCGCCACCACTGCCAAGAAATCTCGAGCGAGGGCCAGAAAGGGCCGGGGAGGAAGGGTTGTGGAGGAGGCAAGAGTGTCAACGCAGCCACCGCAGGCCGAAGGTGACGAGCTCGGACTGGAGAAGAAGGGTACAAAGAAAAAGGGCGGAAAAAGTAAAAGGGATCCTGACACAGATGGAGAGAACCCTGAAGGCACGGAGAAAGTGGAGGGGGCGGTGAAAAAGAGGAGGAGGACAAAAAAAGAGGATATAGCTGATGGCGGGAGTCCCAAAAAAGCCCCCCGAGCGAGGAAGAAGGCGGCTAAGACAGATGATGGAGACGTCAGCGACAAGGAGGATGGTGATGTCACAGAGAAGGAAGTGGTGAAGCAGAAACCAAGGGTTCCACAGGAGAACCTCCTAGGAGAGGTGGATGAGGAAGATATCAACGCTGCCAGGAACAGAGGGAGCAACACTATGAGACCTAAGTGGGTTATACTCTCTATTTCCCTTAGACTACTAATATATTTAATCAAACAATATTATTTATATTTACAAATTGACCTATGCACTCTCGATAGCCCCTTTAAATACATATTCCTCATTGACTGTAATTGTCATATAACAGGACCTTATTTTTACTAATGTAATTGTTTTGTATTAATGTGATTTTCTGTTGCTCCATTCATCTACACAGAGCCACCAAGAACTCGGACGGTAACTTTGTGAAGATCAACCTGAAAAAGAAGTCTCACGTTAAAGGATATGCATGTAGGGGCGCTGGCCTACGGAAGCAGGTAAGAAAACTCTAGTAGTAATAGTAGCATTACAAAATACATACAGTACAGTTATTCTACAACAACAATATGTAGGGTGGCAGGTATTGGCTAAAACAGGCTAGTTCAGAATGATTCTCTGTTTGAGTACATACTGTAGATGAACAGCATACTGTCCCTGCCTAGGAAGACATTACTTATATATGATATCAACATATAGCAGCATTTATCCTGTTTTCTTTCTGTTTCAGTTGACCATGGAGAAGTTCCAGCTAAAGGGGGAGAGGTTTGGAGGGCCAGACTCAAGGTTTAGAGGGGGCTTCAGCAGAAGAGGCAGAGGCGGGTTTAGAGGCGGCTTCGGAGGGTTCAATCGTCCAGGCGACAGCTGCTTCAAGTGCGGAGGCACAGGACACTGGGCTATGAACTGCAAGGGCAGAGGTGAGAGGTCACAGGACAGACAGTACATCAGGGTTCTTCAATTCTGGTCCTGGAGGGCCGAAACACTTCTGTTTTTTATTTCTACCTGGTAGTTAATTGCACTCACCTGGTGTCCCAGGTCTGAATTAGCCCCTGATTAGAAGGAGAGGATGAAAAACAGAGGTGTTTCGGCCCTACAGGACCGGAATTGAAGAACCCTGCAGTACATGGTCGTCTGACGACTGAAGAATGCTGTAACAATTCACTATGAGCTGTGGTAGCTAAATTAGCTTGTTTAGATGATTGGTTCTTCAGAAACTAGTTTCATTTACCACGTCATGCTTATCTTTACTAGGTTGATACATAAAAAATACTGTGCTAAACCATTTTCTTTGATGCACCTGAGGTCTGTTGAGGAAGGTCAGGTGCAACATTACAGAACATTCAGATAGAAATGTATTTTGTTCAACAGATCTGATTCTCTGTCCTATACAATAGTAATTTCAGCTCTATACATGACATTTCTGTCTGCAACATTTTTTACGTTTCTGAATAAATCCCTGTACCCTGTGAATGTTATATATTGACTGTAATATAACCCCTATTTAACCTGTTTCCAGTTGCAGCTGCAGTAGACAGTGCTGCTGCTGATGAGGCGTCTGCGGTTGAGGAGGAGCCCTTTGAGCTGCCAACCTTGGAGGACGTTGCCCGGGCAACGGGCACTCTGTGTTCCGAGCGTCTGGGTATGTCATTGTCACCCTGTCTGGTGACGAGATTTACTTCAGTGAAAATGTTGAGGCAGATTATCCCTTCAATCTCAATCAAAATATTCCCAATGTACATATCAAATGGCACCCTATTCGCTATATTGTGCACTCCTTTTGACCTTAGCCCTATGGGTCAGAAGTAGGGCACTATGAATGGAATAGGGTGCTATTTGGGACACGCATACTTTGAAGCATCACAATAAGTTAAATAGACACTAACTTTGTAGAAATGGGACTAATTAGAATCCTCCCCATACACTCACTAACTTTGTTGATCAAGTTGATGTAGTTTGTTAATGATAAGGGAGGTTATTCCAGTGTATCTATCAACAGTGAGTATTTCACCCAAGTCTAACTCCCTTCAGTAGCCCAGAACATCTGTTTCAGTAGTAGAAACACAACTCCAAACCACTGATAGATAATCAACACACACACTCACACGCTTTGGATTACAATGGGCTAGACTTGTGCCTGATGTTAAAAGCAGTCTGTTATGGTGAAGCCCTCCGGCCCTGGCACAGTGTCTGACCCGTCTTTCCACTCACTGCAATACATCTCCACTCGCCACATGTCTGAACGCAGGCCCCAGACATCCCAACTGGAGGTAAAACCACAACTCCAAACCCAAGCAGCTATTTAGTTTAGCTGGATACAGTCTGTACTGTAAGGGACCGGAGCCCGCAAGATGTGTCTAGCACGGACTTAAGGGGGGAAAATGTCACTGGTAAGACCAATCACGGAGGGTCCCCACGGAACGCTCAACACTCATTTTCATAGCACGGGCTGCATCCCAAATGGCACCTTATTCCCTATATAGTGCAGTACTTTTGACCAGGGCCCATTTGGGAAGCACATAGAGCCCCACACACAGACGATGTCGGAGTGATTGTGCAAGCAGAAACAGAGGCCCCTCTAAGCCAAGATGGAACAGACAGACCTGCGGTTTAAAACTAGATGAGCATAACAGCTCCTCCACTGTCTGGCAAGGCAATGATGTCATGCTACTAAACTAACCTGCATGCCAAAAGGTCAAAGAGCTCATGCTTACCCCCCTGCAATTCTCTCACTCCGGTTACTTCCTCCCAGTTCCTTGCCCATAACAACAACTGATTTAGGCTCAGTTTCTCCCAACTCCAATTCAAAACTCAGTCATAACAAACTCGACTCTAAAGCTGACCTCTAGACCAGTGGTGGAATTAAGTAATTACAGCTCTGTACATGAGGTCCCTCTGTCGATGGTTACGTCCCAAATGACACCCTAGTCCCTTTATAGTACATCCTTTTCTCTTTATAATTGCAAAATAAAGGGAATGGGGTGCCATTTGGGATACACATATGTCTATCTCTCTGTTACACAACCTATGTCTATCTCTCTGTTACACAGTGGCGCCCCCCAGTGTTAAAGAGGAGAATGAGAGTCAGGGAGAGAAGCAGCAGAAGGATGGTGATGAGGTCTTGTTGAATGTGATCAGGCCAGACTACGAGCGCCCTCCCCCTCCTCCCCCCATGCAGCCCCTCTACCCCCTAGGGGAGGACGGCAAAGTACAAGGTACCCTGTTTAAAAAAAAATACATTATTCAATTAATTGTTTCTAGGCCTAGTATCTATAAAGCACAACTGCTGATGTAAAAAGAGCTTTATAAAATACATTTGATTTGGTCGATTGATTCAGCTAGTCAAATAAATAGTACAGTAGGGTTTATATACCTATTATATACCCATTTTCTTACTTTGTTTCTGCAGCGGCACGTTCTGAAGTTTATGAAGCACTCAAAGACTTTGGGTACAGGTCTTTCAGACCAGGGCAGGAACAGGCCATCATGAGAATTCTATCAGGTATGCATGAAGAGGGTAAAACACGGTGAACAGAATTATACAGCGCTTCATTTACTACCTCAGTTGATATTGTGGAGATAGAACAAGTAGTCGCTTCCTCACGTACAGATTTGTGTTTGTTACAAGCACGATGCTCACGTTGTGTGTGTGTGTGTATGTGTCACTCACCAGGGATGTCCACTCTAGTGGTGCTCTCTACGGGCATGGGCAAGTCTCTGTGCTACCAGCTACCAGCCTACCTCTATGCCCAGAGGTCCAACAGTATCACTTTGGTGGTGTCACCACTGGTGTCTCTTATGGACGATCAGGTAACATATCTGTCCCGTAGTTATACAATAAATTATTGATACGGACACTGTCTTGTGAATGTCTCAAAATAGGTAATTGAATGAAATACTGACAGTAAATGATTTTGTCTCCTTAGCTATCTGGACTCCCATCCAAACTGAAAGCAGCTGCTATTCATTCCAATATGTCTAAAAAACAGAGGGAGGCAGCCGTCGAGAAGGTACTGATATCCTCTTACAATCTGCTTAGTTAAACTATGCTCTATCTAGTCCTAAACATCTGCTTCCTCTATTTTTGCATAACGTTTATATTTGTCAGACTTTAACTGAATTATATATATATATATACAGACGCTTTTTACCCAAACCGACTTAGTCATGCTTGCTCTACCATACCAACTGAGCCATTGATAATGTTGATCATGTTGTTCCGGCATTAGGGTTCAATATCTCTCAGTGATATGTATTTTTGCTCATTCATAACCTGTCTGTGTGTGTCATATGTCTGTGTGATGCTGTGAAACTGCTACTACAATGGTATCAGTCATATTTGCATTGATGGTGATTTGCATGAAACTACCATTTTCTGATTCTCATTTTATTGTATATGCTTTGTGTATCTCTGTCTGTGTGTTACCGCCAGGTTAAGGCAGGTGAGGTCCATGTCCTGCTCCTGTCCCCTGAGGCGTTGGTAGGTGGAGGTCACTCTGGCTCTGGCTGTCTGCCCCCAGCTGACCAGCTCCCCCCGGTGGCCTTTGCCTGTATTGACGAGGCCCACTGTGTCTCAGAGTGGTCACACAACTTCAGGCCCTGCTACCTCCGCCTCTGCAAGGTGAGATCTGGCCATTGGACACCCAATAAATGATAAACAGCAACTGTCAAGTAAGTGTCAGATCAAAGAAGAGCAGAAGCTCTGTTCTTTCCACTTAGGTTCCATGTCTGCAACTGCAAATAAAACATTGTAACTCAATGTCAGGAATTCCTAAATCCATTTGAATTGTCTCTCAACCCACAAAACAAGCAAAACCAAAGATATTTTATTAGAAGGAAATGTTATGCCATCTCTTCTCTCATATATAAAACCGTCAATGGCCGCTTTGTCTATAAAACATTTGAATAACTCATTTAAAATGAAAAATAATAACTCAATGTTTTTTAAGTCCTTTCCTAAATTAGGAGCCTGTCTCTTATCATTCTAGCTGTACATGGCTCACACACAAACAGTAAATGCCATTCTTCCCCTCAGTGTTGAAGTGTCCTCTTAATGTATGTTCAGTCTCCTAGGTGTTGAGGGACCGTCCAGGTCATCTGCACCCCGCAAGACTATCTTAGCCTGCTGAGCTAAAGCCTAAGCATTACTGTAGCTCAGGGAGCTATTGCAAGTCTTCACCTCTGTTCCATCTCCTAGGTGTTGAGGGACCGCCTAGGCGTGCGTTGCCTGCTGGGTCTGACTGCCACCGCCACCCTGTCCACAGCCCTGGACATCGCTCAACACCTGGACATTACTGACCAGGACGGTATCGCTGTCCGCTCGGCCGCCGTGCCTCACAACCTGCAGCTGTCTGTCTCCATGGACCGAGACAAGGACCAGGTAGGTTAGCAACGTACACACACACATACATATGGTTGAGGTTAGGGGTGTGTCGAGATGGCCATACTCGTATTCGTAATCGACAGTTGATAGTCGGATCAGATGCCTAAATCGATGTTGGCAAAATACCTCCCTGCATGTTCTCACTGCAAAAAAGCTGCAGATTAGGAGCAGCGCGCAGAGGGGTGGGTGGGTGTGTGTCCTCAACTTGCAGCGGGCAGCCAAGTTAGCTGTTACTTAGTCAGAATGCGCATAAAAGTTTCATATTTTTTCCCTAACCTTGCCCCACTTGTTAGCTATTGTTAGCTATGAGAAAGATGCTTGCTGGCACCCGAAAATAACTTTTTTTCCAATCATGGATAATTACAAAAAATACTTGGATCATAATCGTATCCAGAAAATGTCCAATATCCGTTACGATACTCATTTTGTCCGACTACTCAGCACACCCTTAGTTGAGGTGTTTAGTGTAGTGAAACATTCAGAATGTTCAGAACATAGAACTGTAATAGATAGATCTGACACCATTCACTATTTTACATCATACAGTATCTGTTCTACAATACGTTTTTATCTGCAACATTAGAGTGTGTATGCTGTGCAGACCAGGATGCAAGTAGTATGTGTTTTCTTTCATGGATGGAGTTTGCAATTTGGCATCGCTCATCGGTTCCATGGGCCAGGCAAGCAGAGCTAAAGTATTTAAAATAAAACAAATAGAATCAGGGCTCTACAGTTCGACCATTTTAATCACGCAAAGAACTACATAGAGTCCTGTATATCCCACCTCGCACGCAGCAATGTTGCCTGGGGCGCTTCGTGCACTGAGTTGAAAGATTCATTTTTAGAAGCGCACAGACAGAAATTTGATTTGACCCAAAAGTCTACTAAAGTGTGACTTTGCCCCTGTGTTTCTTGGTTATTAACATAGTTTTGTTCACATGCTAGGTTGCTTTTCAATGTTAGTTGGAGCTTGCTCAACTGCTAGTGAAGAGACATAGGAGAATCTCATCTCTCACAGACGGTCATGTCTTGAAAGGATATATTTTCTAGTCAAAACCCTCACAGATGGATGCCGCGTTCAAAACAACTGGAAACTCGGAAATCTCTGACTTGATGACTCCAGTGCGTTCAAGACAACTGGTAACTCGAGCACCGACTGGGAAAATCTTTTTGAATGGTCATCCAACTGGGAATTCTAAGTTGGAAACTCGTGCAACTTTCTTGAGTGCTGACGTTCCTACCTATAGATCATTGACATCATGATTTGACCATGATTTTCCCGAGCTCCCAATTGTCTTGAAAGCACCAAGACATGCAAGTTCCCCATTACCACGGTAACCTCCCGCCCTTAAAGGGGCAGCTGAAAATGTGTCTCACCTGAGTGACTCAAATATTTGAGGATACATTGTGTCTTGATTGAGCATGGAACACTCCAAAAACCTTTTATTCATTCACATTTTGTCCTTTCTTATCATAAAAACACTCTTCCTCAAATACTTTCATTGTGCTCCTAAATTTCTTTGTGTGCTCTTACATTTTTCAACTTTAAAAAATGTAAAAAATAATGTCAGCGTAGAGCCCTGAGTATTTGAACCCAGGTCTGATGCTGCATGTCCTTTCCCCTGTCCAGGCCCTGGTGTCTCTGCTGAAGGGAGAGAGGTTTGGGTCTCTGGAGTCCGTCATCGTCTACTGCACCAGGAGAGACGAGACGACCCGTATATCTGCCCTGCTCAGGACCTGCCTCCAGGGGGTGCTATTGAAGGAATCTAACCGTACAGCCAGCCAGGAGGAAGACGACAACCCTGTAGGGAAGAAGAAGAAAGCTTTGGGTACCTATCTATTTGCGTTTGGCTTGATGTCAATAGGAGATTAGGAGTTTTGAAGCACTTGTACTCTGAGATGCTTTGTGAACACGGGCCCTGACCTCTCTCTGCTGTGTTCCCTCAGCCAGGAAGAAGATCCGTAAGCCTCTGAAGTGGATGGCTGAGTCCTACCACGCCGGCATGTCGTCCTCTGAGCGCCGTCGCGTCCAGAACAACTTCATGTGTGGAGAGCTGCGTGTTGTGGTCGCCACGGTAGCCTTCGGCATGGGCCTGGACAAGTCGGACGTGCGCGGCATCGTGCACTACAACATGCCCAAGAGCTTCGAGAGCTACGTGCAGGAGATCGGGAGGGCAGGGAGAGACTGGTTACCGGCCCACTGTCATCTCTTCCTGGATCCTGAGGTGAGGTTTCTAAAAGATTGTTATTTTTTGATGTTGTTGGATGTACACTATTTGTTGGATTTTTAAATTTTATTAAACATCACTGTAATCCTACATTCTTGTCTGCTGTCGTTGTAGGGAGGGGACCTGCATGAGTTGCGGAGGCACATCTATGCGGACACGGTGGACCACTACACTGTGAAGAAGCTGGTCCAGAAGGTGTTTCCTCCCTGCAAGTGCAGACAGATCCACCAGAAACAGCAGGATCTAGCCAGGGTAATGTTGGCATACTTATGTAGTCTTTTCCCCCTTCTCTCCATCTACACTCATTGGGCATGAACAGCCTATGGCCATTATATGAACCCCAAATAAAGGGCCACTGCAGTCAAAAACCTGATTTCCCTGTGTTTTATATATATTTCCACACTATGAGGTTGGAATAATACTGTGAAATTGTGATAATGATGATAATGCCCTTTTAGTATAAGAGCTGTTTGAAAAAAAACGCCAGACATTTCTGCCTGTTTTGGTGGGATGGAGTTTTGGCCAGCTTGGTGACATCACCAGGCGGTAAATTAGTTAATAGACCAATAAGAAAGAGAGTTCCAAACCTCTCTGCCAATAACTAGTTTTCAGTTTTTCCCTCCCCACTCAGACCACTCCCAGATAGTCCTAGCAAATTGATTTGTTGAGAAATTGAAATTGCAGTAAGGTACTTAATTGTTACCCAGAAATGATTTGATATTAAAATAAAAAGGGCTGCATTGGACCTTTTTTTAAGAAATTACAAAAAAACTTGATTTAGAATTCATGTCAAAAATGTTTATTTTAACAAGTTTTATTGCACCATTGAATTAAATACAACACCTTCATTGTAATTGTATTTCTTTCTGTGTAGGACATACAGTGAGGGGAAAAAAGTATTTGATCCCCTGCTGATTTTGTACGTTTGCCCACTGACAAAGAAATTATCAGTCTATAACTTTAATGGTAGGTTTATTTGAACAGTGAGAGACAGAATAACAACAAACAAATCCAGAAAAATGTCAAAAATGTTATAAATTGATTTGCATTTTAATGAGGGAAATAAGTATTTGACCCTTCTGCAAAACATGACTTAGTACTTGGTGGCAAAACCATTGTTGGCAATCACAGAGGTCAGACATTTCTTGTAGTTGGCCACCAGGTTTGCACACATCTCAGGAGGGATTTTGTCCCACTCCTCTTTGCAGATCTTCTCCAAGTCATTAAGGTTTCGAGCCTGACGTTTGGCAACTCGAACCTTCAGCTCCCTCCACAGATTTTCTATGGGATTAAGGTCTGGAGACTGGCTAGGCCACTCCAGGACCTTAATGTGCTTCTTCTTGAGCCACTCCTTTGTTGCCTTGGCCGTGTGTTATGGGTCATTGTCATGCTGGAATACCCATCCACGACCCATTTTCAATGCCCTGGCTGAGGGAAGGAGGTTCTCCCCCAAGATTTGACGGTACATGGCCCCGTCCATCGTCCCTTTGATGCGGTGAAGTTGTCCTGTCCCCTTAGCAGAAAAACACCCCCAAAGCATAATGTTTGCACCTCCATGTTTGACGGTGAGGATGGTGTTCTTGGGGTCATAGGCAGCATTCCTCCTCCTCCAAACACGGCGAGTTGAGTTGATGCCAAAGAGCTCCATTTTGGTCTCATCTGACCACATCACTTTCACCCAGTTCTCCTCTGAATCATTCAGATGTTCATTGGCAAACTTCAGACGGGCATGTATATGTGCTTTCTTGAGCAGGGGGACCTTGCGGGCGCTGCAGGATTTCAGTCCTTCACGGCGTAGTGTGTTACCAATTGTTTTCTTGGTGACTATGGTCCCAGCTGCCTTGAGATCATTGACAAGATCCTCCCGTGTAGTTCTGGGCTGATTCCTCACCGTTCTAATGATCATTGCAACTCCACGAGGTGAGATCTTGCATGGAGCCCAAGGCCGAGGGAGATTGACAGTTATTTTGTGTTTCTTCCATTTGCGAATAATCGCACCAACTGTTGTCACCTTCTCACCAAGCTGCTTGGCGATGGTCTTGTAGCCCATTCCAGCCTTGTGTAGGTCTACAATCTTGTCCCTGACATCCTTGGAGAGCTCTTTGGTCTTGGCCATGGTGGAGAGTTTGGAATCTGATTGATTGATTGCTTATGTGGACAGGTGTCTTTTATACAGGTAACAAGCTGAGATTAGGAGCACTCCCTTTAAGAGTGTGCTCCTAATCTCAGCTCGTTACCTGTATAAAAGACACCTGGGAGCCAGAAATCTTTCTGATTGAGAGGGGGTCAAATACTTATTTCCCTAATTAAAATGCAAATCAATTTATAACATTTATGACATGCGTTTTTCTGGATTTTTTGGTTGTTATTCTGTCTCTCACTGATCAAATAAACCTACCATTAAAATTATAGACTGATCATTTCTTTGTCAGTGGGCAAATGTACAAAATCAGCAGGGGATCAAATACTTTTTTCCCTCACTGTAAACCAAGCATATCTTTTTGAGGAGTTTTTCTCTCATTTCTTTAATGCTGTCTTAGGCTCAGGAGGAGGTTGACGACTCCGAGATGATGGAACTGATGGACACCTGTGATGAGACCTCTGCTGCAGCACCGGAACACACAAAGGAGACTAGTCAAAACACCCCTGTCGAGCAGTTGGAACAGGCCAAAGTCCATACTGAGGACAAGGATGTACCAACTCTTCAACCATCGGAGGGGGAGCAGAAAGAACCACCAGAGTCGAGTGTCCCACTTCCCCAGAGAGGGGATGGAGAACAGGATGTGGAAGAGGAGGTGGTGCCAGGGGGAGGTGATGATTGGCCCACGACTAGGGTGTGTCACACCCATGAGAGGACCATCCCTATACAGGACACTGTGGAAGCCCTGGACATCACTGAGGAAGGTGAGTACCTCACTATACCTAACACAGGACAGGTGAAATATCTTGTCTGTTTCATTCAATCAAACGGCCAATTGTGTCATTCAGATAATTGATTCAAGGATCAGAAAATAGTAAATACGAAATAGAAGTCCCACTTTAATTCTGCTTTTTCTGTCAAGACCAGTGAGTCTCCCCGCCTGCCCTTCACAGACACCAGAGTAACAATATAACTTGAATCATTCTAAGGCAAAGACTGTGTCCCCTCTGTGTGTCTGCCAGGTTTGGAGACTCTGCTGTGCTATCTGGAGCTGCACCCTCAGCAGTGGGTAGAGCTGCTCCACCCCACCCTCTCCGTCTGTAAGATGGTCTGTTACAACGGCCCTCAGCAGCTCCGCAAACTCACCAAGATGTAGGACAACATCAAACCACCCGGCTCATGTTCATTAGGGCACACCGTATAATAAAAAATTAAAACTGTGTGCATTTTGAGTTTGCAGAACCTCAATAAGTACTGCAAATTCACTCTGAACACCTGGCCAGTCTGTTACAGTAGACTGTTTACCTGTAAGAAACGAAGTCATGTTTGATAGGTTGTGTATGTAGGTGTGTATTATTTGCTCATGTGATGTTTTTGTGGTCAAGTAAAGTCAGTGGTACATTTGTCATGTGAGCGGTTTGGTATTTTTATGTTCAGGCAATAGATTACTAATGTTTACAAGGTGCTTAAACCGTTTTGCTGCATATAAGTAATGTTTATGGTGAGCGGTGGTATCTGTGTGGTGATGATGGGTGTGTGCCGTCTGATTGGCAGCTGCCCACCTGTTGCCGTGGTGTTGGCCCGGAAACGGATGGCGGGGGAGCGAGTGGAGGCCTGTGATTCGCTGGACTTTGACGTGGTGGAGGTGGCAGACACTATGGGCTGGCAGCTGGGTCTGGTGAAGAGAGGCCTCAGACAACTACAGTGGGCCACAAACAGAGGTGTGTGTGTGTGTGTGTGTGTGTATGAGTGTTTTTATAGTTGAAAAAATGCTAACTACAGTGGAGCATAGTAAAGAATGTGTGTCACACTTACTTGTGTGTGTGCACTGGTTATTAAAACGTGTGTTAATAAACCATAGTGAGTCACAAAACAGATGAAGTGTGTGTGTCTGTCTGAGTGAGTGTTACATTTAGATAAAAATCCATTCAAGAGAAGTAATTATACATCTACTATCTCCATATATATCCTGTCTTGGTAGAGTTGTCCAACCTGTCCTTCATATATCTCCATCTCTTCTCCAGGAGTCTTGGTGGAGTTCTCCAACCTGTCATTCTATTTCCGTTCCTACGGTGACTTGACCCCGGACGAGATGGACCGGGTGTGTGAGTTCCTCCATGACAGGGTGGTGGCCCAGGAGAGGACCAAGCTGTACCAGCTCAAAGCCTGCTTCAAGGCCTTCCGCAGGTCAGCGCTAACCTACATTACACTACACCAGTATTCAGAACTCTAACCAGCACTAGGCTACACAAATATAGCACCAAATTGGACCATAGAGGAAAATCGAAAACGTATTGAAGTGGGTCCTGGTTACCAGAGTTTCATGGCCTGATAGGCCTGTTATTGGAGCTGTTAACCCAATGGTGCTTGGAGTATGTTTAAAGACATTATTGATATTTCTAAGACATTTCTAGATCAGTTCATGCTACTGTGCATCTTTCAGGTGACCTGTTTTTATTATTACTCTTTCTGCGTTGTTCTGTTTTGATAAAGCCACACTATATGTCTCTGCAGCGTCGCATACACGAGCTGCAGATCCTGCACGGACCAGCTGGACGAGAGGCGAAGCCTGAAGCTGAAAGGGCTTCTGGGAGATTACTTTGACAAGAGGAGAGACCTGGACCTGAGCAGGAAGTTCCAGGAGGAGAAGGATGGAGAGGACGAGGTGTTGATTAAATGCAAGGTTCGTGTCTCCTAAGATTCTGTGATGGTTTTTACTGGGTGTAAGTCACACTAATGCCTTGATCTAATACTAAACTTAACAAAGTACCCTTACAATTGAAAAATGTATGGCACATGAAAACCAAACGAGGGTGGTCTATGGAGATAGGTGGGATGGGCTGAGAGTGGCTGAGGGGTGGGATTAAAGAGCTTATGTTCAGTAATGTATTATTGTTATGTGATTGCTGTATATAAAAGTACCATGTATGCAAAATGTGTATGTAAAATGTATGTATATGCAGCAGAAAAGCTGTAAAAAACTAAAAAGATATGTGTCCTCCGAAGAGGGGTGGTGCAAGATGGGTTAATAAATACATAAAATAACCCTTATAATGACCTAATAGAGCTAAATCTGGTAAGAACAGGACCTTCCCATTTTAGAGTAACGAAGTGAGTTTATAATATTTCAACACTTTATATTGTATATCCTCTACTTTAAATGTGTTTATTATCTACTATTTTATTATGTATAATTGTTCTGTTTTTACTGTATCTATACCACAGGAGGCTGCTGAGGGGAGGACAGCTCAAAATAATGGCTGGAACGGAGCGAATGTAATGGCATCAAAAACATGGAAACCATGTGTTTTGATTTACAGTGCATTTGGAAAGTATTCAGACCCCTTGACTTTTTCAACATTTTGTTACATTACAGACTTATTCTAAAATGGATGAAAAAAGAAATATCCTCCTCAATCTACACACAATACCCCATAATGACAAAGTGAAAACAGGTTCTTTGAAATTTGGGCAAATGTATAAAAAACTAAAACATAAATACCTTATTTACATAAGTATTCAGACCTTTTGCTTTGAGACTCAAAATTGAGCTCAGGTGCATCCTGTTTCCATTGATCATCCTTGAGATGTTTCTACAACTTGATTGGAGTCCACCTGTGGTAAATTCAATTGATTTGACAGGATTTGGAAAGGCACACACCTGTCTACATAAGGTCCCACAGTTGACAGTGCATGTCAGAGCAAAAACCAAGCCTTGAGGTCGAAGGAATTGTCCGTAGAGCTCCAAGGCAGAATTGTGTCGAGGCACAGATCTGGGGAAGGGTACCAAAACATGTCTGCAGCATTGAAGGTCCCCAAGAACACAGTGGCCTCCATCATTCTTAAATGGATGAAATTTGGAACCACCAAGACTCTTCCTAGAGCTGGCCGGCCGGCCAAACTGAGCAATCGGGGGAGAAGGTCCTTGGTCAAGATTCCCTGGTCTGATGAAACCAAGATTGAACTATTTGGCCTGAATGCCAAGCATCACGTCTGGAGGAAAACCTGGCACCATCCCTGTGGTGAAGCATGGTGGTGGCAGCATCATGCTGTGGGGATGTTTTTCAGCGGCAGGGACTGTTAGACTAGTCAGGATCGAGGGAAAGATTAATGGAGCAAAGTACAGAGAGATCCTTGATGAAAAGCTGCTCCAGAGCGCTCAGGACCTCAGACTGGGGCGATGGTTCACCTTCCAACAGGACAACAACCCTAAGCACACAGCCAAGACAACGCAGGAGTGGCTTCGGGACAAGTCTCTGAATGTCCTTGAGTGGCCCAGCCAGAGCCCGGACTTGAACCCGATCTAACATCTCTGGAGAGACCTGAAAATAGCTGTGCAGCGACGCTCCCCATCCAACCTGACAGAGGTGGAGGGGATCTGCAGAGAAGAATGGGATAAACTCCCCAAATACATTTACATTTACATTTTAGTCATTTAGCAGACGCTCTTATCCAGAGCGACTTACAGTTAGTGAGTGCATACATTTTCATACTGGCCCCCCGTGGGAATCGAACCCACAACCCTGGCGTTGCAAACGCCATGCTCTACCAACTGAGCTACAGGTGTGCCAAGCTTGTAGTGTCATACCCAAGAAGACTCAAGGCTGTAATCGCTGCCAAAGGTGTTTCAACAAATTACTGAGTAAAGAGTCTGAATACTGTTTAAGTTTTTATATTTGTAATACATTTCTAAAAACCTGTTTTTGCTTTGTCATTATGGGGTATTGTGTGTAGATTGATGAGGGGGAAAAAAACAATTTAATCAATTTTAGAATAAGGCTGTAATGTTACAAAATGTGGAAAAGGTAAAGGGGTCTGAATACTTTCCGAATGCACTGTATTTGATACCATTCCACTCATTCCGCTCCAGCCATTACCACGAGCCTGTCCTCCCCAATTAAGGTGCCACCAACCTCCTGTGATCTATACTGTATGTAGATTGCATCAATTATTTGGTCTAAATTCAGTCTGTATATTCTGTTTATTTTTGTCCAATTCATTTCACCAGGAAAGTGTTGTGATGGGTTTTGTTTATTTTCAGATGAAGGACTGGGAGGGTCAGATCAGAACGGATATTCAGAGTTTCCTGGGCAACCACAGTGACGAGAAGTTCTCTGGCAGAGCTGTCGCTAGAATATTCCATGGAATTGGTGAGTTTTCCCAATTTTATTATTCTCAATATGACTAGGGTCACAAAGGAGGGAAAATGCTAAGTTCCCATACATTCATTCCCGTGGAAGGTTTCCCACTTTGAAAACTCCTAGAACTACTTCTGGGTATTGTAGGATTTTGGCTCCTTGTCATTAGGGGTGTGGCTTATTTAGTGCCATGTGTTTGAACTGTATGGATGCAGTAGTGCTGATCAGTTTTATGCAGTCGGTGATTATCGTTGATCACCGCTGATAATCGACTTTCAATGTGTTACATTATGGGGCAAAAAATTGTCTGGCTTGCGGCTACATGATCTAAGGTCATGCGGTTTTTGATGCAGTTGACTGCAAGTCTCTGCACCAATTGCACCCTGCAACCATTGTATGCATTGTGGGAGGCACTATTGTCAACCAGTCATTCATGTTTTTGCTTGACCCACACAAACTTGACCAAAACATGACTGAAACAGAAACCAACTTTTTGGCGGAGATTCATAGTTACAATAGTATAAGCTTAAGAGTATATAATGTGATCTGTGAGATCTCTCTCTAACCAATTAATAGTACACAAATATGTTTTCAGTTTGACTGTGTGATACGGAGGTAGAGAGAAGTTTTAGAAAAATGTATGAACAATTGCAGCTATGTTGACACTGCCAAGTTAAAATAAGCCTTGCTTTTGGAAGACCACTACAGTGTCCAACGTTTGGTTGTCGCAGATGCACCTCCACTCGACTGCAATCGTGGACATTGGTCTGCTCTCGTCTGTTTTAGTAATTTAACTGGAACACCCTCTACATTTTTGTTTCCAGGAAGTCCATGTTACCCAGCTCAGACCTTCGGCAGGGACCGGCGATACTGGAGAAAATACATCCAGTTTGATTTCAATGAAATAATCCGCTTTGCTATTCAGGAGATCGTTCGATTCAAGTGATCAAATAATACAAATATTTACTCTATGTAAAAAATGAAATAAAACATGTAAAAAGTTGTTAGATAATTTTCTTACCTCAGCTGCATCCATTAACATGCAATAATGTATTAATTGTAAATAATGTTTTATGTGTTTATGATATGAATGGTTATTTTATGGTATGGGTGCTTAGTGTACTGTACATTTCATGTAATGTTGTTTCTTACCCATTGAATACAAATATTTTTGTATTTCAAGGAAGGGTGAGTGCTTGATGTTATTGAAACTTGCGTATGCTCCTTGATCAAGGTACAAAAGGATTTCATTCAATGGTTGTGCGTTGCATAATTGTAGTATGTAATACATGAACTCCAGGTGTGTCAGGGTAGTTCCTTTGTTGTTTCCTGATATGGATGCAAACTCATTGGCCCATGCCCTGGGGAGAAAAACACATTTAACCCTGTGAGACCCAACGTTGCACAAATGCAACGTTTCCTAAATAGCATCCTGTACAGTTCCTAAACTAAAATATGTGAAACACTACATTGTGCATCTCCTTAGACACACATGTATCTCTTAGTGTTGTGTGTCAGTAAGATTACTGTGGCATCTGTAGCCTCTGAAACATTAGAAACCTGTACACTCGTCTGACACCACACTGGTTCCCTACACAAGCATATTTGTTCCTGTCTTTTCGAAGATGTAGTGATTTATGTTGAGAAAAAAAAGAAATCGAGCAACAAACATTCTGAGCTAGAGGTAAGTGTTTGTAAGTGTTGTCAAACTCAGACAAGGCCATATTCTTACACGTATATTGATAGACAAGTTAAAGAGATTGTTTTCCTTCCAAATTCTGCAAATATGGACAACCAAATACTTCAAGAGTAACACATCAAAATAACAAAAATGTGTGTATATATATATATATATATATATATGTGTGGTTTATGAGGTCAGCATACTGCCATTGACGACCATTCATTTTATGGTAAATAAGTAAGATGGGGGGGTTATCTCTCCAAATGAAGCCTGAAAGGACAACCAAATGTTACTTAAAGTAAGTTAGATGTTCTCCATACATAGAAAACACACAAAATAGTTTATCTGTTGAAAAAAATTTTGATATCAAAATAATAAAATGTAGATTGGTGAAGTTTATTAATTTGACTATTTCAGACAAAATATGACTTCATTTCAAATGTATATACCATTAGAACATGTGTTCCATCACATATAAATGCTTTTGATCCACTTTGATGTGATTTCAATAACATTTTACAGTTTTCCTACCACAAATGTTTCCTACCATTGAAGCCCAATGTTGCATTTTTGCAACGTTTCCAGAAAATTGTCTATACATTTGAAATAAAAAAAAACAGATTATTGTCATAATCAGAGGCCTACTACAAGTATTTCTGAAGGGTAATAACATGAATTCCTCATTTGGATCTATGCTTGGGTCTCACAGGGCTAAGGAAATGGATGGCTGGAATGAGGAAGTTAAAATACAAACATACAAATGTGACTCTCCCGCTGTATAAATGCTGGTTTATATATATTCAAGATTACCCCTTTAGTTTATATGTATTCAAGATTACTCTTTTGTTTGATTTTGAAAAGTCTGTGCCAGGAATTTCTTTGACTAAGCCGGTCAATTTTGATAACCTACTCTGGACCCATGTTTCATTTATATTTTAACTGAAATATAAACACATTTGTAAGGAACAAGAAGGTCAAACAAAGTTCTCAGATATAGACCTAAACTCAACTGTTGATTAACTCAGGGCCTGTGTCGCACAGTATTTCCCATATTGCACCTTTGTTGCTCCAGAATGGTACAGTTTAAGTGTAAGACTTTTATGAGATGGAATAATGTCACGGTGGACCTAAACCCTGTCACACTGTAAACTCTTCAACTTAGAGAGTTGTGAAAATGTATTTTGGCCTTTACAGTACCTTGAAGCTACCTGCTGTTGCTGGTGTTATGGAGGCTGTGTGTTGGTCATGTCTGTCTTCTCAGGGTCAGAGAGAGAATTCTGACTGACTTCACAGAGAGAGCAGTGTCACTTTACTTTAAGATGCTGACTCTACAAGAGCAGTGTCACTTTACTTTAAGATGCTGACCCTACAAGAGCAGTGTCACTTTACTTTAAGATGCTGACTCTACAAGAGCAGTGTCACTTTACTTTACGATGCTGACCCTACAAGAGCAGTGTCACTTTAAGTAGCAGATAGTATGACTTCTGTGTCTGTTAGTGGTAAGTGGTGGTGGTGACCACAAAGTGAGGACATTCTGAGTAACGTCTGCTGGATGAAATGACTGCACTGCAGTCTAACTATCAGTTCAGATCAACCTCAGCTCTACATTACTGTAATATAGCTACTGCTGACTTAGGTTTCTGCCAACGTGTCTGTAACAGTCTTGAAGTAAGACTTCTGGACAGATAATGAGAACATAACACAATCAATAGACTACAGCTGTTTATCAGACGCTGTATATAGAGATTAAAATGTTTTTATCTTTCTGTCTTTATTATCTGATTATTTGGGAAAATACAGTGCCTTCGGAAAGTATTCACACCCCTTGACGTTTTCCACATTTTGTTGTGTTACAGCCTGAATTTATAATGGATTAAATATTTATTTTTTTAATTGTCACTGGCCTACACACAATACCCCATAATGTGAAAAGTGAAATTATGTTTTACAGTTTTACAAATTAATTACGAATGAAAAGCTGAAATGTCTTGAGTCAATAAGTATTCAACCCCTTTGTTATGGCAAATCTAAATTAGTTCAGGAGTAGAAATGTGCTTAACAAGTCACATAATAAGTTGCATGGACTCACTCTGTGTGCAATAATAGTGTTTAACATGATTTTTGAATGACTACCTCATCTCTGTACCCCACACATACAATTATCTGTAAGGTCCCTCAGTCGAGCAGTGAATTTCAAACACAGATTCAACCACAAAAAAACTGAGAGTTTTTCCAATGCCTCGCAAAGAAGGGCACCTATTGTTAAATGGGTTTTAAAAAAAAGCACACATTGCATATCCCTTTGAGCATGGTGAAGGTATTAATTACATTTTGGATGGTGTGTCAATACACCTAGTCACTACAAAGATACAGGCATCCTTCCTAACTCAGTTGCCGGAGAGGAAGGAAACCGCTCAGGGATTTCACCATGAGGCCAATGGTGACTTTAAAACAGTTACAGAGTCTGTAATCCGCTGTAATCACTGCCAAAGGTGCTTCTACAAAGTATTGACTTATGTAAATGAGATATTTCAGAATGTAATTTTCAATACATTTGCAAACATTTCTAAAAACATATTTTCACTTTGTCATTATGGGGAATTCAGGCTGTAACACAACAAAATGTGCAATAAGTCAAGGGGTCCTATGAATACTTTCTGAAGGCACTAGTCTATCAGTGATGACCTTTTGAGATTCAAGTTGTGAGGCTGTATTTATTATAACTCAAGATAAGGTTTATTGTCTCTGTCGACTGTGAACTTTGTCAGGTAGCATGCATTCACTGAATGGGAAGCTAAACTAATTTGCTATCCCTGGCAACCTTGTTGTATGGAGAGGGTGGTCTATGAAACCAAACATCAAATATATTAAATTATTATTTTGAATGTAGGCCTATGGGGAATTGTTGTGGCAAAATATGAATCAAATATCATGTGTTTAATATGAACCATAATAACGTTAATATTGACCATAATAACATCAACATTGACCATAATAATGTTCATATTGACCATAATAATGTTCATATTGACCATAATAATGTTATTTTTATAAGATCATTACCACATGATGACTGTTCCTTTGATAACGTGATGTCACACTTTCGTTCAAGGCTACGACACATCACAGACCCATTATACATTATACTTCTACAAAGTATTGACTCAGAGGTGGGAATACTTATGTAAATGAGATATTTCCCAATTTAATTTCAATACATTTGAAAACATTTCTAAAAACATGTTTTCACTTTGTCATTATGGGGTATTGTGTGTAGGTGGATGAGGAAAAAAATCTAATAATTCCATTTCGAATTCAGGCTGTAACACAACAAAATGTGCAATAAGTCAAGGGGTCCTATGAATACTTTCTGAAGGCACTAGTCTATCAGTGATGACCTTTTGAGATTCAAGTTGTGAGGCTGTATTTATTATAACTCAAGATAAGGTTTATTGTCTCTGTCGACTGTGAACTTTGTCAGGTAGCATGCATTCACTGAATGGGAAGCTAAACTAATTTGCTATCCCTGGCAACCTTGTTGTATGGAGAGGGTGGTCTATGAAACCAAACATCAAATATATTAAATTATTATTTTGAATGTTGGCCTATGGGGAATTGTTGTGGCAAAATATGGATAAAATATCATGTGTTTAATATGAACCGTAATAACGTCAATATTGACCAAAATAATGTTAATATTGACCATAATAATGTTAATATTGACCATGATAATGTTAATATTGACCATAATAATGTTGTTTTTATAAGAACATTACCACATGATGACTGTTCCTTTGATAACGTGATGTCACACTTTCGTTCAAGGCTACGACATGTCAAAGACCCATTATACAGATCCAGAAATCCCACTACGCCCTCCGGAACAAAATCTCCCGCGAGGCAGTAGTTTCACGCTCACTGCTCTTCTACTCTGCACATGACTTTCTTTCATTTAAATATGTTCAAAGTGACACAGGTGGCAAACTACTGAAGGCCTACTTTGGGTACCTCATTGGATGTTCATACTCACACTTACATCCAAAGACCCTTCAAACAGCTTCATTTTTGACTTGGAGATAGGGGATCTCCTCCTCATATCCTGCTGACAATGACACAAGGATGTGTTAGGTAGTTCCCCCAACACCTGCCAGACCAGTCTCATCTGGCCCAGTATCTGTTGTGATGATGTGGTGTAGGGTGGTCACCCCTAGACACTGATCTTGGATCAGGATAGGGGGAGGGAAAGCTGATCATAGATCTGTACCTAGGGGAATGTTCACCCCATAGCTTGAGATGCACTTGTGACAACAGGTGTGTAGCAAGTGTTACAGTAATGCCAGTCCACTAACCATTGTGGGGGCCAAGAGTTTATCTTAGTCATGGTAAGGAAAAACTATTGTCCCTAGATATGGGACCCAATCACCCAGCCACACTGTCAATGCCAATGTTGGATGATGTCCATGGAAAGTACTTTTACTCCACAAAATTGGTATAGGGTTTTGAGTTGTGAATGGTGATGAAGAGATTGAGAACAAATGACAAACGCTTGAATCTAATTCAAGTCTTTAATTTACATTGCAATGGAAGGATCGTGCTCAGACAACACCTTGCCAAACATATGTTTTACAACTTACACAACATGTACATTGGTCTCATTCTCATTGGTCATTTACATAAACACTTTGTGAATTAATTCACATGGCAACATATGGCTTTTAGATTATACTGAAGGTTGTGTATACTGAAGGTACATCTTATCTTCTTCGTTCGCCGTGAGAATGTTTCTCTTAGTCATGGCCAGGAAAAACTACTGTCCCTAAATATGGGACTCAAATCATCCAGTCACACAGTCAATGCAAATGTTGAATGTTGTCCATGGTAAGTACTTTTACTCCACAAAACGGTTATACGTGAAGAATGGAGTCTCTTATTAATTTTTTTTACAGTGTGTGTATTATTTGTTTTGACAACAGTTCCACCAGCCACCTTCCACGCTGTCAGTAATACATTGTCTCGTTACATCATGTTGTCAATTTTCCTAATACACAATCTGTTGTCAGTAAAGGGAAATGTTAAAGGCCCAGTGCAGTAAAAAACTAGATTTTCTTGTGTTTTATATATATGGGGTTGGAATAATACTGTGAAATTGTCAAAATGATGATTATGCCCTTTTAGTGTAAGAGCTGTTTGAAAAGACCGCCTGAAATTTCAGCCTGTTTTGGTGGGATGGAGTTTTGGCCTTCCATGGTGACATCACCAGGCTGTAAATGAGTTAATAGACCAATAAGAAAGAGAGTTCCAAACCTCTCTGAAAATAACAGCAACGTTTTCCCCTCCCCACTCAGACCACTCAGACAGTTCTAGCTACATTCTTGCTTGAGAAATTGCCCTTTTTGACCATTTTAATTTAAAACAATCACAGTAAGATAATTAATTGTACCATTTTTTGATATTTAGATAAAAACGGCTAGTGATGGTCATCATCAGGGCAGTTGTGGCCATTGAGGGTGTAAGTGTGGCACTTGGCACACATATTTTGCCTGTATTCTTAGCAACATATTATATTGACATTAAAAAAAAAACTCTTGCCATTATTTCAGTTTAGGTCAGCTTAAGCCGAGTCTACAATGAAGACAGGTAAATTGGACATGTACCCCTCATTCAGCTGAACTGTAATGGTGGCTTATTTATGGACCGGTAGAGAAGCGCACCTCGCCTCTGGACCAATCAAATGCGAGCTAACAGGTCGATGAAATCTCTAACTTAGTAATTATAGACACCTGTATGGTGAACTTAAAACCGTGTGTGGACTGATCTGCGCCACTCGGAATCAACTCTTCCACTAAACTCACTGTTTTTTGCACTTTATTTTGTATTCTTTTTTATAGAGGTTTTTATATTTTATAGATAGAACAATGGAAACTACATATAAGTATTTCCACTTTATTCTCCTATGTCTGAGTTTTAACCTATTCACCTATGCGTTGTATTCACCTGTGGATGTATATGACAAAGTGGTCGAGCTAGTGTCGCCAGGAGAGGAATACCTGAATGAAATGTCAGTTCGCTCCTTTTTCAAACTGTTAGAGAAGCGTGTGCAGTGCCCTGGTGTGTCGTGTGAAAAGGTAACTTTTTTTCTTACACTCGCTACAACTTGGGTTTTAGGAAAGGTCGAGGTCCATTCTGCACCTGTTACTATGCTGTGCCGTGCGCTACACTACTGGAGACTACGCTTTGTCGCAGTTCTTTTTTAGACCAATACCTAAAATACATCCGTATTTATTTATTGATCTGTCTCTGACCGAGTCTATTTTATATTTATTGATACTTATATTTTGAGCACTGAGCAATTTTAAAATTAAAGCTCGCTCCATAATAATAATAATAATAATAATTATTGTATTATAGACTAAAAACAATAATGATTCGTGTTATTATTGCATTGGTACTATAGAGATATTACACGACGTCAGCATTGCAGATTGTTTTGTACCAGATTTTTGTAACTGCATTTATTCCAACCTTTATGTTCTTAACTATTGCAATGACATAAATCCAACTGATCAACATTAAAACAATTCCATTTGTTAGGGTAGTAGATATTATAGAACAATGTCTTAGACTTAAATGGCTTATGGCTGGGTTAAAAGTATTAGCATAACCTTCTGTATGTCTATTACAATGATCATAACCCCAATAAATATTTTATATTAATGATTTTCTTTTACATCTCCAATTAATTTTAATGTCTTGGTTGCATCACCCTTCACTGTGCAGGTTGTTTAAATTGTGTCTTAATGATTGGGCATTCTGTTTTCCTTACAATTATTTATTTAATTCTGTCCATGCAATGCACCACAAATAGCCCAATAAATGTTAATTTTGGTTTCCTTTGATTACTGTAGAAAAAAATGTAGGCATGGCTCTATACTCCATTTTGAATCCATGTTGTTCAGACATGGAGGCCTTGGACTTTACCTTGGTGTAATCTGCACTTATGACCATCTAGAGGCAGTTTTCCGTCACAAGTTATGTGAGAGATGCCATAGATTGGCCAGACATGTTCGATACTTAAACTAATGATCAGTATTTAGACAGCGTGTGCTGGTAATGCAACAATGGCTTGAGATCTTACTTAAAGTATGTGTTTGTAAGATGATACTGTAGAAACAGGATAAAGTCTCTGCACACTTCCAGTCAGATGCAAATATATTTTAATAGAGCCTGAACTTTCGGTCAGTCCGACCTGCATCAAGCTCAGCCTCTTTTAAAATACATTTACATCTGACTGGAAATGTGTGGAGATTTTTTCCTGTTTCTCCAGCACATTCACTAATCGGTTTTGGATGTGCGGTAGATTCAGACTATTATCTACATTATGATACTGTGCAAAGTCACTGTATGTCCTGACTCAAGAACCCAGAGCGTAGTCTGCTCTTAAAGATATCACCCAAGTCAAACCAACCCAAACTCCTTTCCTTTAGCTTTGTGGTCATAATGACAATACAATAAGACCTTACATTTGTTTTCTCTCATGAATTATACCTATATTTGTCCTTAGTACATAAATCATCTACATGGAACACTGAAGCCAGCCTTCTTGTTTGTAGTGCCTCTCTGTGCAGTCAGTGGACCAGCTGGTTGGTAACTTCACCAGTGCTGGTGGTCTCCTTAACAAGGAGGGTTTCTTCAGAGTAGCAGCAGGATGCTGCCTCTACCTCAGCTCTCCCACCGAGGCCTGCTCTGCCGTGAGGGCAGGGAGGTGGGGGGACGAGACAGACCACCTCATCCAGGAGATCACAGGCCATGACCACCACGGACACAGGCACAGGGATGGACACGGAGACATGGAGAGCCGTGGGATAGAGACACTGCTCCGAAACATGGAGAAGTACTACAAGCCTGATCAGCAGTACGACCAGGTTGGAGCTGCTGTGCTATAATTAAGCAATAAGGCCAGAGGGGGTGTGGTATATGGCCAATATACCACGGCTAAGTGCTGTTCTTAGGCATTACATTACGCTACAGCCCTTAGGTATATTGGCCATATACCGCAAACCCCCGAGGTGCCTTATTGCTGTTATAAACAGGTTACCAATGTAATTACAACAGTAAACCAGTAGTTTTGCGTCATACTTGTGGTATATTGTCTCATATACCACGGCTTTTAGCCAATCAGCATCCAGGGCTCGAACTACCCGGTTTATAATGAAGAATAGCAAAATACTGTATATACAGACCTGTTTTCTAACCAGTTATTTTACCTCCACAAAGTATTTATATTATGTTCAACTGCGTAAGTCTGTCCTGTCTTGTTATCATGGTCATTTAGCACTGTCTCACTGGTCAAGACATCTTAGAGGAGAGCAGCGCGTCAACGAGTAATGGTGACCCACACAACATGGATGTGGTGTTTGGATACATAGTTTACCATGCTTTACGAGGTGACTGCATGACGGCCAGAGCACTACCTGAAGAAGACTATTTTCTGGATTTCATATTCAACCGCTTCGGCTCCGACAACATCACTATTCACGGTACCATAAGATAACCCTTTAATGTTATTATTACTGTCATATTACCTCATAACAAGCGACTATTCCTATGTGTATGAAATGTCCGTACTGTAATATTACCTTATTACAAACTGTTATTAATATGTGTATGAAATGTCTGTACTGTAATATTACCATTAACAAATGACTATTCCTATTAGTATGAATCATTTTGTTTTAGTTTTATTACACAGTCATGTGATGTCATCCTCCTGCCTGTACTTCAACCTACTCATTCATCCATGTTGTGTCATACATAGATCATCATTGATTTAGCATGATGCCCTTGAGGGGCTATGCTATTAACGTTATCCCATAAAAACCACTGATAATGAGAGTTTATATTACTGTTCCCCAATGGCCTGCTATGTACGTCACCACCAACCATATCATTCTGATTAATCTCTGTAGAGCTGGAAGGTCTTATGAAGAGCCTGCAACTGGGTGGAATCCACGAAGAGGACCACGATCATGAACATGGAGACCAAGATGGACACAGCAATGGTCATGGTCACGATGACCACGTTGACCATGACCATAGTGACCACAGTACCGCTAGTGGGGGTCGGGGTGGTCGAGGTGGTCAGAGTGGTCGGAGGGGTCGAGGTGGAAGTGAAGCCTTCAGGCAGAGTCACGAGGAGGGGTACCACCAGAGGAACATCAGCAGCTGGGACCTGGTAATTATTTTACTGAACCACCACAGTGCTTGGTGGGTAATTATTATACTGAACCACCACAGTGCTTGGTGGGTAATTATTATACTGAACCACCACAGTGCTTGGTGGGTAATTATTAAACTGAACCACCACAGTGCTTGGTGGGTAATTATTATACTGAACCACCACAGTGCTTGGTGGGTAACTATTAAACTGAACCACCCCAGTGCTTGGTGGGTAACTATTAAACTGAACCACCACAGTGCTTGGTGGGTAATTAGGTCAAGGCCTTCGCTTCACTCTCTCTTCAGGGGCTTAAAGGCACAGCACACACACACACACACACACACACACACACACACACACACACACACACACACTCCTTCACTCTGATTCATTATCAGACTGCTAAACCCCTGGTGTCCGCTGCTCCTACAGTGCATTGTAATGAACCTTAGATGTGCCTTAGATTGCCTGAGCTATTGGCAGCTATAGGATTCCCTCCATGGTAATATCAGAAATCTGAATGAAAACACTACAGAGGCATAATGACATGTCTCTTTTAATATTTGTCCCCACTATATCCACACAAAACATGAAACATTACATAATACAGAACATTAATAGACAAGAACAGCTCAAGGACAGAACTACATACATTTAAAAACAGTACACATAGCCTACATATCAATACACGCACACCAAATGGCCATATCTAGGTCAAATAGGGGAGAGGCGTTGTGCCGTGAGGTGTTGCTTTATCTGTTTTTTGAAACCAGGTTTGCTGCTCACTTGAGTAATAAATCAAATCAAATAAAAAAAAAATTGCCACATGCGCCGAATACAACAAGTGTAGACATTACCGTGAAATGCTTACTTACAGCCCTTAACCAACAATGCATTTATTAAAAGTAAAATAAAACAACAACAACAAAAAAGTGTTGAGATAAAAAGAGCAGAAGTAAAATAAAATAACAGTAGGAAGGCTATATACAGGGGGGTACCGGTGCAGAGTCAATATGCGGTGGCACCGGCTAGTTGAGATAGTTGAGGTAATATGTACATGTGGGTAGAGTTAAAGTGACTATGCATAAATAATTAACAGAGTAGCAGCAGCATAAAAAGATGGGGTGGGGGTGGGGGGGCAGTGCAAGTAGTCCGGGTAGCCATGATTAGCTGTTCTTATGGCTTGGGGGTAGAAGCTGTTGAGAAGCCTTTTGGACCTAGACTTGGCGCTCCGGTACCGCTTGCCGTGCGGTAGCAGAGAGAACAGTCTATGACTAGGGTGGCTGGAGTCTTTGACAATTTTGAGGGCCTTCCTCTGACACCGCCTGGTATAGAGGTCCTGGATGGCAGGAAGCTTGGCCCCAGTGATGTACTGGGCCGTACGCACTACCCTCTGTAGTGCCTTGCGGTCGGAGGCCGAGCAGTTGCCATACCAGGCGGTGATGCAACCAGTCAGGATGCTCTCGATGGTGCAGCTCTATAACTTTTTGAGGATCTGAGGACCCATGCCAAATCTTTTCAGTCACCTGAGGGGGAATAGGCTTTGTCGTTCCCTCTAACACGACTGTCTTGGTGTGTTTGGACCATGATAGTTCGTTGGTGATGTGGACACCAAGGAACTTGAAGCTCTCAACCTGTTCCACTACAGCCCCTTCGATGAGAATGGGGGCGTGCTCAGTCCTCTTTTTTTTCCTGTAGTCCACAATCATCTCCTTTGTCTTGGTTACGTTGAGGGAGAGGTTGTTGTCCTGGCACCACACGGCCAGGTTTCTGACCTCCTCCCTATAGGCTGTCTCATCGTTGTCGGTGATCAGGCCTACCACTGTTGTGTCGTCGGCAAACTTAATGATGGTGTTGGAGTCGTGCCTGGCCATGCAGTCATGGGTGAACAGGGAGTACAGGAGGGGACTGAGCACGCACCCCTGAGGGGCCCCCGTGTTGAGGATCAGCATGGCAGATGTGTTGTTACCTACCCTTACCACCTGGGGGCGTCCCGTCAGGAAGTCCAGGATCCAGTTGCAGAGGGAGGTGTTTAGTCCCAGGATCCTTAGCTTAGTGATGAGCTTTGAGGGCACTATGGTGTTGAACGCTGAGCTGTAGTCAATGAATAGCATTCTCACGTTGGTGTTCCTCTTGTCCAGGTGGGAAAGGGCAGTGTGGAGTGCAATAGAGATTGCATCATCTATGAGATGGAACGGAGTTCCATGCAATAATGACTCTATATAATACTGTACGCTTTCTTGAATTTGTTCTGGATTTGGGGACTGTGAAAAGACCCCTGGTGGCATGTCTGGTGGGGTAAGTATGTGTGTCAGAGTTGTAAGTTGATTATGCAAACAATTTTGAATTTTCAACACATGAATGTTTCTTATAATAATAAGAAGTGATGCAGAAAACTGCTCTCCTCAATTTTTTGCCAAGAGAGACTGGCATGCATAGTATTTATATTGGCCCTCTGAATACAGTGAAGAGCAAGACGTGCCGCTCTGTTCTGGGCCAGCTGCAGCTTAACTAGGTATTTCTTTGCAGCACTGGACCATATGGCTGGACAATAATCAAGATAAGACAGAACTAGAGCCTGCAGGACTTGCTTTTTGGAGTGGTCAAAAAAGCAGAGCATCTCTTTATTATGGACAGACCTCTCCCCATCTTTACAACCATTGAATCTATATGTTTTGACCATGACAGTTTACAATCTAAGGTAACATCAAGTCACTTAGTCTCCTCAACTTGTTCAACAGCCAAACCGTTCATTACCAGATTCAGCTGAGGTCTAGAGCTTAGGGACTGATTTGTATCAAATACATAAATGCTCTTAGTTTAAGAGATGTTCAGGACCCGTTTATTACTGGCCACCCATTCCAAAACTGACTGCAACTCCTTGTTAAGGGTTTCAGTGACTTCATTAGCGGTGGTTGCTGACACGTATATGGTTGAATAATTAGCATACATGGACCCACAGGCTATGTTTAAGGCCAGTGACAGGTCATTGGTAAAAATAGAAAAGAGTAGCGGGCCTAGAGAGCTGCCCTGCCGTATTCCACATCCTACATGTTTGACATTAGAGAGTCTTCCATTAAAAAAACCTCTGAGTTCTATTAGATAGATAGCTCTGAATCCAAGATATGGCAGAGGTTGAAAAGCCATAAAACATACGTTTTCTCAACAACAGGTTATTGGCAATAATATCAAAGGCTGCACTGAAATCTAACAGTACAGCTCGCACAATCTTCTAATTATCATTTTCTTTCAACCAATCATCCGTCATTTGTGTCAGTGCAGTACATGTTGAATGCCCTTTTCTATAAGCATGCTGAAAGTCAATTTGTTTACAGAGAAATAGCATTGTATTTGTTTTTTTACAACAGTTTGTTAAGGAGCTGGCAACAAGCTGATAGCTCTAATTGGGTAGCTGAATGACTTTGGCTTCCCTCCAGGCCTGAGTGCACACACTTTCCTGTAGGCTTAGATTAAAGATATGACAGATAGGAGTGGCCATAGAGTCAGCTACCAACCTCAGTAGCTTTCCATCTAAGTTGTCAATGCCAGAAGGTTTGTCATTATTGATCGATTTAAAAACAAAGAGAGTCACACACTCCATATGTATAAACTCCCAGTAATTTATTGGGTAAGCCACCAAAGTTTCGGCATCACTGTGCCTTTTTCTTTTTCTTAGACTATTATTGATCGATAACAATAATTTTTCCACCTCTCCCACACTAACTTTACAAAATTAAAACTTACAATGCTTTTCTTTTATTATTAGTTTTTTAATGCATAAGTATGATGTCTCACTGTTCGTTGTTGGCATTTCCTGCCTAAGTAGTGTTTCAGCCCTGTTTTCTCCATGTAGACATGTTTCAGCCCAGAGGAATTGGTAAAGATCCATGGGCTAAATGGATCTAGCCTGTCCAGGTCTGACGTGGCCCGGCTTAGCCCAGCCCTGGTCCAGCAGATCCTCAGTGGGGCCTGCAACAGCACCTCTCCCCACACTGGACCATCAGACCAGCTCAGCACCACAGAGAGTGAGTGGAGTACTACAGTCCTAGCCACTGTGCTTCTGCCTCTGCATTGCTTGCTCTTTGACATTTTAGGCTGGGTATATGTAAACTGCTGATGTAAAAAGGGCTTTATAAAATATATGTGATTGATTGACTGCTACAGTACACACTTTATTCAACACTCACTCCTCTCCTTTTGATACAGAAAGGCCCATTCTTCACTATTTACCTTTTAATGAAAAAGGAATGATAGTGAGACTATGCAGCAATACATTTACTATGTTCATAAATATAAACGCTCCAAAATTCAAACTATACTGAACAAAAATATAAACCCAACATGTAACATGTGGGTTCCATGTTTCATGAGCTGAAATAAAAGATCCCAGAAATTTTCCATAGCTTATTTCTCTCAAGTTTTGTGCACAAATTTGTTTACATCCCTGTTAGTGAGCATTTCTCTTTTGCCAAGATAATCCATCCACTTGACAGGTGTGGCATATCAAGAAGCTGATTAAACAGCATGATCATTACACAGGTGCACCTTGTGCTGGAGACAATAAAAGGCATGTGCAGTTTTGTCACACAACACAATGCCACAGATGTCTCAAGTTTTGAGGGGGCGCGCAATTGGCATGCTGACTGCAGGAATGTCCACCAGAGCTGTTGCCAGATCATTTAATGTTCATTTCTCTACCATAAGCCGCCTACAACGTCGTTTTAGAGAATTTGGCAGTACGTTTAACCGGCCTCACAACCGCAGACCACGTGTAACCACATCAGCCCAGGACCTCCACATCCGGCTTCTTCACCTGCGGGATCGTCTGAGCCACCCGGTCAGCTGATGAAACTGAGGAGTATTTCTGTCTGTAATAAAGCCCTTTTGTGGGGAAAAACTCATTCTAATTGGCTGGGCCTGGCTCCCCTGTGGGTTGGCCTAGCTCCCAAGTGGGTGGGCCTATTCCGTCCCAGGCCCACCCATGGCTGCGCCCCTGCCCAGTCATGTGACATCCATAGATTAGGGCCTAATGAATTCATTTCAATTGACTGATTTCCTTATATGAACTGTAACTCAGTAAAATCTTTGAAATTGTTGCATGTTGCGTTTATATTTTTGTTCAGTATAGATCGATGTTATCATTAGGTAACGAGCCTATTTCAAGCATGTATGTGGAATACATTATCATCTAACATACCTTTCATGGCTTGACTGACTGATTTGCTTTAGTCCTGTTATTACTGTATACATTGAACCCTGTAATGTTAATTCTCTCTCTCCACAGAGTATGTGTATGCCACCATCGCCAATCTGCTGATCTGTCTGGCCGCTGTGGTTGGCGTTGTGGTGCTGCTGTGTACCTCCTGCAGTAGTGTCTTCCAGCTCGTCATCCAGTTCTGTGCCAGCCTGGCTGTGGGCTCCCTCACTGGGGACGCCCTGTTGCACCTCATGCCTATGGTGAGCATCACAATACCCTATTCACATTACTGAGCCCAGCTGATTCAAGCTGAGCTGTGCTGTGCTGGCCTGGTTATGCACCCATCATAGTTACTGGAACCGTGCCTGGAATGGACAGTGTGAATTTAGACTTTGATTTAGACTTTATACTCACTTTATAGCATAACAGGTATATCGTCAGGTATCATCTGGTTATTTTTCAACAGCATTACCTTTTAGATTGTACCAGCAGCGCATCACACGCAACATCGCAATCTAGCCAGCCAGGCCTCTTCCTCCTCAACACTTCCTTGAAGTGTTATGATTAAAGGTCCAATGCAGCAATTTTTATCTCTATATCAAATCATTTCTGGGTAACAATGAAGTACCTGACTGTGATTGTTTTCAATTAAAATGTAAAAAAATATATACAGAAATAGCTTGTTAACAAAGAGCAATTTCTCAAGCAAGAGTTGAGCTGCAACTAATAATAATAATAATATGCCATTTAGCAGACGCTTTTATCCAAAGCGACTTACAGTCGTGCGTGCATACATTTTTGTGTATGGGTGGTCCCGGGGATCGAACCCACTACCTTGGCGTTACAAGCGCCGTGCTCTACCAGCTGAGCTACAGAGGACCACGGACTGGAGCTACGACATCACATAAACGTTTTTATCAAAAACGACTGATTCCAGCACCCAAAGAATAGCCTGCATTTACACAAGACATTGTCGCCTCTCAACTCCATCGTAAATCGTGGCGTTGAGCTTAGTTGGCTAATTTCCCCCAGGGCAGACATACTCTTATGAAGGAGATACAGTACTTCCTGCTCCTGCAGCTCAATCCTTTTAGATCCATGCCACATCACAGGACGACGTATTAGCAGGCTGTCACACCCTATCCTCACCTACAGTGTAAAATAATGTGATTAAGGAACTGAAACGACACCTTCTCATTGGACAAACAGAGAAATGGGCCAATGTTGCTTCAGGGAATCTTCGGTCATTACAAAGCCAATGATGAGAGCAACATAACACTGTGTCCCAATGGTCCGAAATTGTTTCTTATCCCCCTCTACTCTCCTTCACAACCCCCTATTGAGAGGACATGATTGGTGAAAGCAATATGGTGGATAGGTACCAGTCTTCACTCTAAACTTTCATCTGTCAGTACAGTAGCATGTGAAGGAGGCCATTTCAGAGTAATGGACCCGCAGGTTGATTGCATCGCCAGTATTTGGTCTTATCCTACCCTGTGTATTGGGGGTTACACTTCACTTGAAACCCGCCGTCATAAAGGTTACATAACTTTGTCATAACACTATCATTATAATGACATAATAGATGTCATTGGGCCGACTGTGTCTGACCGTGTTGTGACCGTGTTTCCTCTGTTGGTTCAGTTCCTAGGCCTCCACGTTCACAGTGAAGGAACAGATCACAACCACTCAGAGGAGGTTCCAGACTACATCTATAAGATACTGGTGCTGATGGCTGGCATCTACTACTTCTATCTCATGGAGACTATCTTCTCCATCGTCACCACTCACAAGGACAGCCATCACCATGGGGTTAGTAGTGTCTATCACCTGGGCTGTTTTCAGTAGGGCCCAACGAAGCTAAATGTTTTGCAACAGGAAACAAAAATATGTGACCTTATTGGACAAGTTCAGGTAGTACCTTCCCATTTCACTCTGTTTTGAAACGTTATCTTTTTACTGAACCCCACTGTTCTGTCCGCTTACTGGTTCGGTGGATCCATTGTGAAAAAACTCCCACACTCGTATACTTGCAATAAACCTTTAATAAAGTGCAACACTTCAGACACAGAAATTCGTCAAGTCTTACTGGTTCCAAAATGTGAGAATTGTTAGGTATTAACAGTAGATAAATGTTCTATGTTGTCTACAATCTAAAGTAATTGATATTCTGGGCACAGACAGATACATTGTGTCATTGTGTTTTCAGGTGGAGTCTGAGCCCCATCACTGTGACCATGGTAAAGTCCTGGAGATGTATGTGCAGGACAAAAAGAACAAGCAGTCTGTATCGCAGACAGACCTGGTAGGTTCTGCATCTGTTATTCACAGACAGACCTGGTAGGTTCTGCACCTGTTATTCACAGACAGACCTGGTAGGTTCTGCACCTGTTATTCACAGACAGACCTGGTAGGTTCTGCACCTGTTATTCACAGACAGACCTGGTAGGTTATGTACCAGTTATTCACAGACAGACCTGGTAGGTTATGTACCAGTTATTCACAGACAGACCTGGTTGGTTCTGCACGAGTTATTCACAGACAAACGTGGTAGGTTCTGCACCAGTTATTCACAGACAGACCTGGTTGGTTCTGCACCAGTTATTCACAGACAGACCTGGTAGGTACTGCACCAGTTATTCACAGACAGACCTGGTAGGTTATGTACCAGTTATTCACAGACAGACCTGGTAGGTTCTGTACCAGTTAATCACAGACAGACCTGGTAGGTTATAAACCCTCTAACCTCTCTCTTGGAGAACTGAGTCAGACATAGGTCCATGACTGAACAGCCAGTTTCATAGTAAGCCTGTGTGTTTACCTGACACAGCATGTAGTCTTTACTACCTGTGTTTCTGAACACGTTGTCCCCCACTAACCCTTTCACTGCTGTAATTCAGATGTTATTCTTCTGCAATGTTCTGATCCTGCTAGGTTGATAGCGATAACACAGAGAAAGCATTTCCAGAACGAAACGAACGCTCAAGAGGTAAGAAAGACAATCTGGGTCTACGTACAACCTTTTCACAAGACATAAAATCAAATCAAAGTTGATTGGTCACGTGCACAGGATACAGGGTGTAAATGGCACAGTGTCATGCTTACTCGCAAGCTCTGCTCAACAGTGCATTACACATTTATCAAAAAAATACACAATAAGTGTGATGAGTGTGATGGAAGGAGTCAGGTGCAGGAGGGTAATCACCGAATACAGAGTTTATTCCGTCTTTACACACAAATGCGCTGGAATAGCGACAAACAAAACAGGCACAGGGGAAACTATCCTCCCTGGCAATACACTGTAACGGTATCTCCATACAATACATAGGCACAGGGGAAATATCTACCCTGGCAACAAAATGGTACGAGTAGCTCCACTACTCTCACATTCAAACAATCACCCACAAGGACAAGGGGGCAGAGGGAACACTTATACACGGACTAATGAGGGGATAAGAACCAGGTGTGTGTAATGACAAGACAAGACAAATGGAATGATGAATATAGGAGCGACAGTGGCTAGAAGGCTGGTGACGACGAGCGCCGAAGCCTGCCCGAACAAGGAGGGGCAGCAGCCTCGGCGGAAGTCGTGACAATAAGTAATAAAAACAGAAGACAAATTGTAATGTTTGGAAATATATACACAATAAGATATACAGTATAGACTAAGAACTGTGTTAAAGTAAGTAGTGACATGACTGAGCAGCGAAGATAATAATAATATGAATATAGGTCAGGGTTTGACTGTCAGGAAGTAGCTACACTCTCAAGCTGTCAAACTGTAAACTTACTGTGCGAGTTGTCTCAAGTCGAATCAATGATTACACACATTCAGCGTGACGAAGATTAACGTGCACAAAATATCTGTGTTCTTTTCTGATGAACAGTTACATGAGGAACAGTAAAACAATTATAATTACTACAAGGATAAAACATTTCAGCTGCAGGTGCAACCCAAATCTCCCTGTCATCATTGTAAATGATAATATAATTTACAGTGATACCTTAGAGACTGCTGCCCTACAGTACGTAGTCATTGAACACTGGTCACTTTAATAATGTTTACATACTGTACTGTTTTACCCACTCCATATGTATATACTGTATTCTAGTCAAGGCTCATCCTATATAACTACTGCTGTACACATCTTTTCTATTCATATACTGTCCATACTGTCTATACACACCATTATTTATATATATATATATACTCGATATACACACAATATATACAAAAGTATGTGGACACCCCTTAAAATGAGTGGATTCTGCTATTTCAGCCACACCCGTTGCTGACAAGTGTATAAAATCAAGCGCACAGCCATGCAATCTCCATAGACAAACATTGGCAGTAGAATGGCCTTACCGAAGAGCTCAGTGACTTGCAACATGGCACTGTCAAAGGATGCCACCTTTCCAACAAAGTGGAAACGTCTAGGAGCAACAACGGCTCAGCCGCGAAGTGGTAGGCCGCACAAGCTCACAGAACGGACTGCCGAGTGCTGAAGTACGTAGCGCGTAAAAATCGTCAGTCCTCGGTTCAAACACTCACTACCGAGTTCCAAACTGCCTCTGGAAGCAACGTCAGCACAATAACTGTTCGTCGGGAGCTTCATGAAATGGGTTTTCATGGTCGAGCAACTGCACACAAGCCTAAGATCATCATGGGCAATGCCAAGTGCCGGCTGGAGTGGTGTAAAGCTTGCCGCCATTGGACTCTGGAGCAGTGGAAACGCATTCTCTGGAGTGTTGAATCTCGCTTCACCATCTGGCAGTCCGATAGACGAATCTGGGTTTGGAGGATGCCAGGAGAACGCTATCTGCCCCAATGCATAGTGCCAACTGTAAAGTTTGGTGGAGGAAGAATAATGGTCTGGGGCAGTTTTTCATGGTTCAGGCTAGGCCAATTAGTTCCAGTGAAGGGAAAGCTTAACGCTACAGCATACAATGACATTCTAGACGATTCTGTGCTTTCAACTTTGTGGTAACAGTTTGGGGAATGCCCTTTCCTGTTTCAGCATGACAATGCACAAAGCGAGGTCCATACAGAAATGGTTTGTCGAAATCGGTGTGGAAGAACTTGACTGGCCTGCACATAGCCCTGACCTCAACCCCATCGAACACCTTTGGGATGAATTGGAACGCCAACTGCAAGCCAAGCCTAATCACCCTACATCAGTGCCCGACCTCACTAATGCTCTTGTGGCTGAATGGAAGCAAGTCCCCACAGCGATGTTCCAACATCTAGTGGAAAGCCTTCCCAGAAGAGTGGAGGCTGTTATAGCAGCAAAGGAGGGGCCAACTCCATAGTAATGCCCATGATTTTAGAATGAGATGTTCGACGAGCAGGTGTCCACATACTTTTGGTCATGTAGTGTATGTATATACACTGTATATACAAATATATATACAATTATTAACAATAGCTGCATTTGAATTGACTTCTTTAGACGACTGAGCCCCTCTCTGAGTTTCCCTTCTGTCTCTCCCCTCCACTAGAACAGCGTCTGCTACCTTACATGGTTACCATAGGGGATGGGATACATAACTTTGCCGACGGCCTGGCTATTGGAGCAGCCTTTTCTGAGTCCTGGAAGTCAGGCCTTGCCACGTCTCTGGCTGTGCTCTGTCACGAGCTGCCTCACGAACTGGGTGAGTGGAGCACCAACTGATGCCTCTAGTTGGCCATGTTAAAAGAGGCTCTTAAGAATGAGGTCCAGCCACATTGGCACTTCAGATGTTGTTGCATATGAATTCATGTATATATATATATATATATATATATATATATATATATATATATATATATATATATATATATATATATATATATATATATATATATATATATATATACAGTTGAAGTCGGAAGTTTACATACACTTAGGTTGGAGTCATTAAAACTCGTTTTTCAACCACTCCACACATTTCTTTTTAACAAACTATAGTTTTGGCAAGTCGGTTATGACATCTACTTTGTGCATGACACAAGTAATTTTTTCCAACAATTGTTTACAGACAGATTATTTCACTTATAATTCACTGTATCACAATTCCAGTGGGTCAGAAGCTGCCAGTTGAGGACCTGTGAGGTGCCTGTTTCTCAAACTAGACACTCTATATGTATTTGTCCTCTTGCTCAGTTGTGCACCGAGTGGTGCAGTGGTCTAAGGCACTGCATCGCAGTGCTAGCTGTGCCACTAGAGATCCTGGTTCGAATCCAGGCTCTGTCGTAGCCGGCCGCGACCGGGAGACCCATGGGGCGGCGCGCAATTGGCCCAGCGTTGTCCGGCAGGGATGTAGCTCAGTTGATAGAGCATGGTGTTTGCAACGCCAGGGTTGTGGGTTCGCTTCCCACAGGGGGTATGAAAAAAAAATAAAAAAAATAATGTATGCACTAACTGTAAGTCGCTCTGGATAAGAGCGTCTGCTAAATGACTAAAATGTAAATGCACCGGGGCCTCCCACTCCTCTTTCTATTCTGGTTAGAGCCAGTTTGCGCTGTTCTGTGAAGGGAGTAGTACACAGCGTTGTATGAGATCTTCATTTTCTTGGAAATTTCTCGCATAGAATAGCCTTCATTACTCAGAACAAGAATAGACTGACGAGTTTCAGAAGAAAGTTATTTGTTTCTGGCCATTTTGGGCCTGTAATCGAACCCACAATTGCTGATGCTCCAGATACTCAACTAGGCTCAAGAAGGCCAGTTTTATTGCTTCTTTAATAAGCACAACAGTTTTCAGTTGTGCTAACATAATTGCAATAGGGTTTTCTAATGATCAATTAGCCTTTTAAATGCTAAACTTGGATTAGCAAACTTGCTGATAATGGTCCTCTGTACGCTGTAGATATTCCATTAAAAATCAGCTGTTTCCAGCTACAATAGCCCTTTACAACCTTAAAAATGTCTACACTGTATTTCTGATCAATTTGATGTTATTTTAATGGACAAACAAATTGCTTTTCTTTCGAAAACAAGGACATTTCTAAGTGACCCCAAACTTTTGAACGGTAGTGTATATACAGTGCCTTCGGAAAGTATTCAGACCCCTTGACTTGTTCCACATTTTGTTACGTTACAGCCTTATTCTAAAATGGATTAAATGTTTGTTTTTTTCAGCAATCTACACACAATACCCCATAATGACAAAGCGAAAACAGGTTTTTAGAAAGTTTTGCAAATGTATTAAAAATAAAAAACAGAAATACCTTATTTACATATTCAGACCCTTTGCTATGAGACTCGAAATTGAGCTCAGGTGCATCTTGTTTCCATTGATCATCCTTGAGATGTTTCTACAACTTGATTGGAGTCCACCTGTGGTAAATTCAATTGATTGGACATGATTTGGAAAGGCACACACCTGTCTATATAAGGTCCCACAGTTGACAGTGCATGTCAGAGCAAAAACCAAGCCATGAGGGTCGAAGGAATTGTCTGTAGAGCTCCGGGGCAGGATTGTGTCGAGGCACAGGTCTGAGGAAGGGTACCAAAAAATGTCTGCAGCATTGAAGGGCCCCATGAACACAGTGGCCTCCATCATTCTTAAATGGAAGAACTTTGGAACCACCAAGACTCTTCCTAGAGCTTGCCGCCCGGCCAAATTGAGCAATCGGGGGAGAAGGTTCTTGGTCAGAGAGGTGACCAAGAACCCAATGGTCACTCTGAGAGAGCTCTAGAGTTCCTCTGTGGAGATGATAGAAACTTCCAGAAGGACAACCATCTCTGCAGCACTCCACCAATCAGACCTTTATGGTAGAGTGGCCAGACAGAAGCCACTACTCAGTAAAAGGCACATGACAGCCCGCTTGGAGTTTGCCAAAAGGCACCTAAAGACTCTCAGACCATGAGAAACAAGATTCTTTGATCTGATTAAACCAAGATTGCAAAAGCTGCTCCAGAGCGCTCAGGACCTCAGACTGGGGTGAAGGTTCACCTTCCAACAGGACACTGACCCTAAGCACACAGCCAAGACAACGCTGGAGTGTCTTCGGGACAAGTCTCTGAATGTCCTTGAGTGGCCCTGCCAGAGCCCGGACTTGAATCTCTGGAGAGACCTGAAAATAGCTGTGCAGCAACGCTCCCCATCCAACCTGAGAGAGCTTGAGAGGATCTGCAGAGAAGAATGGGAGAAACTTCCCAAATACAGGTGTGCCAAACTTGTAGCGTCACATCCAAGTAGACTCGATGCTGCCAAAGGTGCTTCAACAAAGTACTGAGTAAAGGGTTATGTAAATGTTATGTTTTACATTTTTTATAAATTAGCAAACATTTATAAAACCTGTTTTTGCTTTGTCATTATGGGTTATTGTGTGTAGATTGATGAGGGGGAAAAAAACAATTTAATCAATTTTAGAATAAGGCTGTAACGTAACTAAATGTGGAAAAAGTCAAGATGTCTAAATACTTTCAGAAGGCACTGTGTGTGTATGTATATATATATATATATATATGCTGTTAGATTTGTTTGATTTCAGAATAATATTTTTCATTTCAAACAATAAAGTATTAGAATAGATTAATAGCAATGGTAGATGAAAGGTAGATTAATAGCAGATATACAGTTTAGCCACTTCGCTCTGTTTCCAGATTTCTTATTCACACAATCCTTCCAATGGCATCAACCTAAGACCCACATTTGATCACCGGCATCATCCCTTTAAACCTCTCCTCTCTCCATCTCCCAGGTGACTTCGCTATCCTGCTGCACAGCGGGGTGTCAGTGAAGAAGGCCTTGATGCTGAACGTGGGCAGTGCCCTCACATCCTTCATCGGACTCTACATCGCCCTCACCATCTCTACTGACCTGGCTACCAAGCAGTGGATCGCTGCCATCACCTCCGGTCTCTTCCTGTACGTGGGTCTGGCTGATATGGTTAGTATACTAGTTTTACCATTCTCAAACAGGCTGTGAGGAATAGCTTCTTGGGGATTCATTTCAAATGAGAGTATGTCGCACAAATACTTAAATTGCTTTGACTTGGGCCTTGAGGGTCTCCTGGCCATGTGACCTGACCAGGAAGAACTCTGACCACTAGTTATAACACGGTTGCTCCTATTCCTTTCATCAATGCCTAACTTCCTCTATAAATATGATATATTTGGACAATGAGTTAAATGCATTTGATTGTCTTGTTCCTCCTCCCCCAGCTCCCCACCATGGTCCATGCAGACAACCGTAGGCCCTGGCTCATGTTCCTGCTGCAGAACGTAGGACTGCTGTCTGGCTGGGGCATCCTGCTGCTCCTCTCCCTGTATGAGGATAAAATTGTCTTCTAGAGCCTCCTAGTCCTAACACTGTACAGTACAATACAGTTACAAACGACACCATGCAGCCTATGCTATAATTGACCTGTTTTGAGATATTTACTTTATCTGTAACACGCTTGGTATTTCTATATGATACAACGTTTCCTAAAATTACTTTCCTATATGTTAAATATGAGTATATAGGCTAGTTCTGGTGTGTCTTATGCATTTAACACATAGAAGTGTAATCTGTTGGTGTTCTGTATGGACACATCCTGCCATTGGTGCTAATGTTACTATTTGAAGGGATATCATCTGTATGTGATTAGTTCAAACTGTAATTTATATGACCTATATTTATAATGGGACTCACAGGTCCTCAGGCTACTTCCTCTCTAATTGCCACACCTTTTGTATTAACCACATATACAGTGCCTTCAGAAGGTATTCACACCCCCTGACTTTTTCCACATTTTGTTGAGTTACAGCCTGCATTTAAAATGTATTAAATTGAGATTTTGTGTCACTGGCCTACACACAATACCCCATCATGTCAAAGTGAAATTAGGTTTTTAAAAATGTTTACAAATTAATAAAAAATGAAAAGCTGAAATGTCTTGAGTCAATAAGTATTGAACCCCTTTGTTATGGCAAGCCTAAATAAGTTTAGGAGTAAAAATGTTCTTAACAAGTCACATAATTAGTTGCATGGACTCACTCTGTGTGCAACAATAGTGTTTAACATGATTTTTGAATGACTACCTCATCTCTGTACCCCACACATACAATTATCTGTAAGGTCCCTCAGTCGAGCAGTGAATTTCAAACACAGATTCAACCACAAAGACCAGGGAGGTTTTCCAATGCCTCGCAAAGAAGGGCACCTATTGGTAGATGGGTAAAAAAAAAGCAGACGTTGACTATCCCTTTGAGCATGGTGAAGTTATTAATTACACTTTGGATGGTGTGTCAATACACCTAGTCACTACAAAGATACAGGTGTCCTTCCTAACTCAGTTGCCGGAGAGGAAGGAAACCGCTCAGGGATTTCACCATGAGGCCAATGGTGACTTTTAAAACAGTTACAGTTTAATGGCTGTGATAGGAGACTGATGGATCAACAACTTTGTAGTTACTCTACAATACTATCCTAAACGAGAGACTGAAAATAAGGAAGCCTGTACAGAAAACAAATATTCCAAAACATGCATCCTGTTTGCAATAAGGCACTAAAGTAAAACTGCAAAAAATGTGGCAAAGAAATGAACTTTATGTCCTGAATACAAAGCGTTATGTTTGGGGCAAATCCAACAAAACAAATCACTGAGTACCACTCTTCATATTTTGAAGCATGGTGGTGGCTGCATCATGCTATAGGTATGCTTGTCATCGGCAAGGACAAGGGAGTTTTTTTTTAGGATAAAAATAAACTGAATAGATCTATGCACAGGCAAAATCCCAGAAGAAAACCTGGTTCAGTCTGCTTTCCAACAGACACTGGGAGACAAATTCACCTTTCAGCCAGACAATAACCTAAAACACAAGGCCAAATATACACTGGAGTTGCTTACCAAGATCACATTAAATGTTCCTGAGTGGCCTAGTTACAGTTTTGACTTAAATCGGCTTGAAAATGGTTGTCTAGCAATGATCAACAACCAACTTGACAGAGCTGGAAGAATTTAAAAAAGAAGAATGTGCAAATATTGTACAATCCAGGTGTGTAAAGCTCTTAGAGACTTACCCAGAAAGACTCACAGCTGTAATCGCGGCTAAAGGTGATTCTAACATGTATTGACTCAGGGGTGTGAACACTTATATAAATGAGATATTTCTGTATTTAATTTTCAAAAAATGTACAAACATTTCTAAAAACATGTTTTCACTTTGTTGTTATGGGGTATTGTGTGTAGATGGGTGAGACAAATAAATGCAATCCATTTCGAATTCAGGCTGTAACACAACAACACGTGGAATAAGTCAAAGTGTATGAATACTTTCTGACGGCACTGTAGTTGGCAGTGTGCACTGTATAATAAAGTAGGTAGATGCTATTCGAATATGTGATCTTATGAAGTGTGAAGTCGATGCAAGTGCACACAGTGTGTATGAATGTGAGAATGTGACATGTTAAGATTTTGTCTTCTTAAACCTTGTTGATATGTGTATTTTTACCAACGTTCCACCAATCCCACAAACCAAAGAACTTCAGGGTAAGAAAATAATAATTGTACATTTTGATACATGTTGTTTCTGTATCTTCTTATCACTCCCTTATAATACTTTGCATTTCTTTTCGGCTGCAGTATTTCTTCATTCTGTCTAGTATACCACCCTGTGAATGGATACAGGAGTAGCCTCCTCTAGCTACTTGGTTATCTGTCATGATTAGTGACATCAACAGTGTCACTGTTCAGAGTCCACACTCCAAAGACCACAACTTAAAACCATGGATCGATCCATAGCCTGAGGAAGTCATGCAAGTGGATCTCCAGTCGGCATGTTGATGTAGTTTATCTGATTAACCCCTACCCTTACCCTAGCCATAACCAAAACCCTTACCTAACCCTAACCTTAACCATTTTACATTTCAACTTCAATGGGGTAGAGACGTCCCAAGGAACCCGGCTAGCACAGACCTTTCCAAGAGGGGGGTTATAAAGAGGGGTTCTGGTTACCATAGCAAGTATCATGCACTTTACGAAATATTATGTTTTTTTATCAAACTGAGCATATTCTTGTATTTATGGTATACAGGCACATTATAGTACAATAAAGTAAATCAGCAGAGACTACTTGAATTGCATTTGATAAAATGGCCATAGAAACAGTCAGAGCAGAGGAGTGGAGTGGCCATAAATCAAAGAATTGGTGTGGATCCCAAATAGCACCCTATTCCTTACATCGTGCAATACTTTTAACCAGAGTCTGGGTCAAAAGTAGTGCACTATATAGGGAATAGGGTGCTATTTGGGATGCACACATGGAGTTGAGGATCCATACAGTATGACAAGCAGTTGGAGCAGGGGCGTGGACCCACATACATAACAGTAAACGCATGTGTGACCATAGGTCCAAGGGAGTTGAGGGTATAAGACAGATAATTACTGGCCTTGTGATAAATATTTGAATCACCTCTATGCACGCCAGAGCTACAGATAAGATTATAGGTTTAAAAGCACATCTGTATTGTTGTGTCAAATAAAAAACAATTGTTGAGTTAATAAAAAGCACCACCATATATATACCAACGGCCTAAAGAGATATATCCCTGCATCATAAACTACAACAATCAAACCTTATTATGGTTAGACTATCTCTTAGTTTCTTTTCTCTTGTCTCTTAGTTTCTGTCCTGTTGTCTCTTAGTTTCTATCCTATTGTCTCTTAGTTTCTGTCCTGTTGTCTCTTAGTTTCTGTCCTATTGTCTCTTAGTTTCTGTCCTGTTGTCTCTTAGTTTCTGTCCTGTTGTCTCTTAGTTTCTGTCCTATTGTCTCTTAGTTTCTGTCCTATTGTCTCTTAGTTTCTGTCCTATTGTCTCTTAGTTTCTGTCCTGTTGTCTCTTAGTTTCTGTCCTATTGTCTCTTAGTTTCTGTCCTGTTGTCTCTTAGTTTCTGTCCTGTTGTCTCTTAGTTTCTGTCCCATTGTCTCTTAGTTTCTGTCCTATTGTCTCTTAGTTTCTGTCCTGTTGTCTCTTAGTATCTGTCCTGTTTTCTCTTAGTTTCTGTCCTGTTTTCTCTTAGTTTCTGTCCTGTTGTCTCTTAGTTTCTGTCCTGTTGTCTCTTAGTTTCTGTCCTATTGTCTCTTAGTTTCTGTCCTGTTGTCTCTTAGTTTCTGTCCTATTGTCTCTTAGTTTCTGTCCTATTGTCTCCTAGTTTCTGTCCTGTTGTCTCTTAGTATCTATCCTATTTTCTCTTAGTTTCTGTCCTGTTTTCTCTTAGTTTTCTCTTAGTTTCTGTTCTGTTTTGTTTGAAAAAGGAAGGGGAAAACTTGAAACAGGGTTGTGGTGAGTTGATGATACACATTCAATTTTAAGTTTATAGTCAATCTAGGCTTTTTTTGCCAAAATTGAGGAAAAATTATAAAGTAGTGTATAAGTAGCTTATGTGTTCAAATGGACCACTGGAGGGAGCTCTGAGCCTCATAGTATTATGTATTTCCTGTTGCCTTGAAATTCACCCCAGACACATGGCCACATTGTGGAGAGATACTGTATATCACCTTAGGATGTCTTATTTCCACAGCAATGATAGATAAGTCGCATGGCCTTAGAATTATAAGGTTCTATCTGCAAAAAGATGATTCTAAGATAATTGGCTTTAAAGTACAAAACCTCCTCATTGGCTTGAATGGTGTGAGCAATTTTTTAACATCTTGTATTTCTTTTTAACTTAACAACATGAATTGGGGTATTTAGAGTACTATGTTGGTAGAGAACATTTTACAGAACAAGCCTATGTCAATAACTGAATTTGGACAGAAATGCAGATAGAACCTTAATAATTCCAAGCTTTCACAGATGTCAACTGTGATTCTCAGAATATAGTCTTGTAAATAGTGAGGTAAATTGATGTCCTTCACATTTTCTAATATTTTCACGGAGTGAAAGTTGTTTTCAGTGAAGTTTTTTTTTTATTTTTTTTTAATAATTATGCCTTCCTTGTCAGTTCACTACAGTCACAGCTTAACAGTAACATTAATTGAACAGTTTGTTAGAACATTTATAATTTGCCTGTTTTGCAACTGCTGATGACATAGTCAAAGAAATACTGCAGAGCATTTCAACCTGTCAGGCTATTCATAAACTCCTCCCTGTCAAATATTCTCCATGTCCAACCTTATGAAACCAGCATCATAATATGACAATGATGTGACAATACTGTAGAAAACAAGGTTGATGCAATTGTCATCTTTACAACTACAAATAGCTAGAACTAGACAATGTACCCATTCAGAATCAAACTGGGGATACCTCATCATGCCTGCTATTGTGGTGCTAAACTGCATGGAGAACCTTCAGAATCACAGAAGCCCCGAGCTAGATTGTCAACACAGTCTGTATCCCAAATGGCCCATATGACTCTGCTCAAAAATAGTGCACTATATAGGGAACAGGGTGCCATTTGAGACATAGCCATGGAACCTATCAGGAATCTGATTGGTTACTTATCGTCCTCCTGCGGGGGTAAAGATTCTGTGTGAGCCAATAGGATGGCAGCGTAATCTTAGACATGTTAAAGAACCATTGTGGTAAGCCTGCCAGTCTTCTTTAGAAAGCACCGATTAATTTATTCATAGACACAGAGGCATGCTTAGCTCTGCAGGATAGAATGCATGTGTCATTGTTTGTTGTAGGAAAAGCGTTAAAGATCCAATAACTTTGTTTTAGGTGCCAGATACAGAGGAATATGGTTGGCATGGGACAAAAGGTATGACATGCCATGTGGTTCCTCAGATACAGAGAGAAAGAGCTGAACTATCATGTGAAGAATCTATTTATACATTATGCTAATGTTTTGTTATTCATACTTTTAGCAGAACTTAAGGT